GTTTCCATTAAGGCAATCATTTGAACAAACAATGTCGCGTTGACTTGAGCTCAGCAAAGGTGTAAAGTTGGGAGAAAATTTCATGTGAAAACAGGCGATACAAGGGCGACATCTAGACTCTTCTTTGCCAAGGGGGGGCAGTGGTCTCCATCTATTGCCTCAATTCACTCGATCACTTTGGGCTTTGTAGCAAAAAAGTTAGGCTCCCTAAGGAAAGTTTTAACTTCTTTTAACCTAAAGCAAACACTTTACATATTGGGCGCCATCTGTTGGCTATTAGTTTCGAACACAGGACAATGGAATTTTGTTAAAATCTTAAAAATACCGAATATAACCGTCATGTCGGGGTCTATACGGCGAGGAGCTACTTAGGCTATGTTTGTCATAAGCCATTATCATATTCAAATTCGAAACTTGAAATAAACGGTGAAACGGTGTAGCCAAAATCATCAAAATATTGTATATAAGGAGGTACCGTCATAGCGGGGCTGTGCGAAGACCTGGACCAGCATAGACAATTTTCTGTCACAGGCTGTAGTATCCATTACGAACTTCAAATACCAAATGTGAAACCATTCCGGTGAATAATGTCGCTAAAATCATCAAAAAACCGAATATAGGGAGGAATTGATATGTGGGGCCTATACGAAGACCGGGACCAGCATAGACAATTTTCTGTCACAGACTGTAGTTCCCATTACGAACTTCAAATACCAAATTTGAAACAATTCTGGTGAATAATGTCGCTAAAATCATCAAAATACCGAATAGCAGGTGGTAACGTTATATAGGGCCTATACGAAGACGTGGGCCTGCACAGACAATTTTCTGTCATAGGCTGTAGTATCCATTACGAACTTCAAATACCAAAGTTAAAACAATTCCGGTGAATAATGTCGCTAAAATTATCAAAATACCAAATATCGGGAGGTTCCGTTATATGAGGACTATGCGAAGACCTGGACCTGCACAGACAATTTTCTGTCTTGAGCTGTAGTATCCATTTCGAACTGCAAATACTAAAGTTGAAACTATTCCGGTGAATAATGTCGCTAAAATCATCAAAATACCGAATATCGGGAGGTACTTATATATGGGGGCTATAGGAAAACGTGGACCGACATGGCCCATTTACGAACTTTACCTGCCTACTGGAAAAATAAACATGTGTGCAAAATTTTAGCCTTATATCTCAATTCGTTCGAAAGATAGCGTGATTACAACAGACAGATGGACAGAAAGACAGACCGACAGACGGACATCGCAAAATCGACTTAGAATTTTACGCTGATAAACAATATATATACTTTGTTGGGTCTGACATGAGTCTTTCGAGGAGTTGCAAACGGAATGACAAAGTTAATATACCCTCCATAGTTTGGTGGAGGGTATAAAAATTTGGCTGCCTAAGGTAAGGTTTTTTAACTAAAGCAAACACTTTACATGTTGGGCGCCATTTGTGGGCTATTACCTTTGAGCACCGAATTTACAATGTTTTTGTCTGCGTACTTGGCAGTTTTAGAAGGCCGGGACTTTGTCTACGTTGGACGCCAACAGCGATGGCAACCCAGTCATTAAAATCCCTATATACAGGGTGAGATAAAAAAACTGCATAAAAGTCAAACGCCATAATTTTTACATTTTTTTTTTTTAATTTTTTTTGAATGAAATCAGAAATTGTCGGAAAAAGCATCAATTTTAAGAATAAGTTTCGATTTGTTCGAATTGGTCAGCTTTGGCACGAACTATAGCTTTCAAACGGCCAACGGCCGTCGTACGCTGCCCGAATGTTGCTCTGCGGTATTTTGGCCCATTCTTGTTGAATGGAAAGTGTCTTGTTGGAATTCCTGCAATGCATGGTCGTATCGCAAAGTGTCTTGTTGGACTTCCTGCAATGTATAAACGCAGGGTCGTATCGCAAAGTGTCTTGTTAAAATGTATGGTCGTTTCACAAAGTGTCTTGTTAGAATTCCTGAAATGTATGGTCGTTTCACAAAGTGTCTTGTGAAAATGTATGGTCGCATCAAAAAGTGTCTTGTTAAAATGTATGGTCGTTTCACAAAGTGTCTTGTTAGAATTCCTGAAATGTATGTTCGTTTCACAAAGTGTCTTGTGAAGATGTATGGTCGTATCACAAAGTGTCTTGTTAGAATTCCTGAAACGTACAGTCGTATCGCTCTGTCGGAAAAACCGACTGATACTGATTTTATTTGTTATACCCTACAACACAAGGTGGTCAGGGTATTATGTCTTTGTGCATTTGCATTTGTAACAGGCAAAAGGAAACGAGCTAGACCCATAGTTCCTTTTGATGATCTGCATAGAATCACATTCTGAGTCGATTTATGCATGTCCGTTCGTCCGTCTGTCTGTCCATGTATTTTTGTAAATAAAGTACAGTTCGCATTTATTGTCCTATCCAGATGAAATTTTGAAGAAATCATTTGTTTGGCCCAAGGACGAACCCTATTGAAATTGGAGATAATCGGTCAAAATTTAGATATAACTCCAATATATATGTTCGTCCGATTTGCCTTTTATTGTGCACCAAACGTGTAATATCACCCCGAATAGTATGGAATTTTGCACATACAACCAAATTAGGCCTGAAAAAAAGTATGCCAAATTTCATCAAAATCGGTTCAGATATAGCTATAGCTCACATATATAATGTTCATCCGATTTGTTATTTTTGTCCTCCGCAGCCGTAATATGCACTCTGCAACAACAATATTTGGGGAAATATATCAAATACAGTTCAGAAATACATTTGCTAAATTTTATCGAGATCGGTTCAGATTTGGATATAGCTCCCATATATAACTTCGTCCGATTTACATTTTACTATGCACCAACCGTCTAATATTTGTCCAAATCGGATGAAATTTGGCACTTACGACCAAATTGAGTCTAGAAGCTAGTATGTCAAATTTGGTGAAGAACGGTTCTGATATAGCTATAGCTCTCATATATATTGTTCATCCTATTTGTTATTTTTGTTCTCCGCAGCCGTTATATGCACTCTGTAAAAACGATATTTGGGGAAACACATCAAATACAGCTCAGAAATACATTTGCTAAATTTTATCGAGATCGGCTCAGATTTGGATATAGCTCCCATATATAACTTCGTCCGATTTACTTTTTTATTGTGCCCCAAACGTTTAATATTTATCAAAATCGGATGAAATTTGTCACTTACGATCGAGATTGAGTCTAGAAGCTAGTATGTCAAATTTGTTGAAGATCGGTTCAGATATAGCTATAGCTCCCATATATACTGTTCATTCGATTTGTTATATTTGTTATCCACAGCCGTAATATGCACTCCGTAACAACAATATTTGGGGAAATATATCAAATACAGCTCAGAAATATCTTTGCCAAATTTTATCGAGATCGGTTCCGATTCCATATATATATCTTTACCCGATTTCAAATTAATTGTGCACCAAATGGAGAATACAAGTCAAAATTTAAAAGATACAAATGCTTCGGCATATTTAGTCCTTTGAACTTTAAATAATAATTATAATCATGGCATGTATGATTGAATTCTCCCATAAAAACTTTTAATTGTTATGTGGAGCTCTACTAAATTAGCAAAGTAGTGGTTGGTATCATAAAGTCGGCCCCTCCCGACTTTAAGACTTTCTTTACTGGTCATGTACTTGCACCTTTATTCTCTGTCATAAGTAAAATATCGACAAATAGATATATACAAATAATTTTCTAAAATTGTTTTTATAAAATAATTTTTGAGCTGATTTTGATTATATTTTCGTTTAAAAATTATTAAATGAGTTAAAATTCAACGCAGGAGAGTTATTTCGAAATACTCTTAAGAATATCTCTTTCATTGTTTTGCTCAACTATGAAACTTTTGAGTCTCTCAAAAGACAAAGAGAGAGCATGCATTTCTCTTGGCATCTAATGGCCCATGTTGCTTCTCTTAAAATAAAGAACGATGTTAATCACGACTTTAGACCTAATTTATGACAACTAATTGGAATATTTTCGAAACTTAAATTTATTCTGTGGAATGTTGATTCTGACACTGATTTCTTCTTCGTTCGCTTATTATCAGTCAAAAGATTTTTTGAGTTGGGATTTCTTGAGGGAAAATAAATTACAAAACCAAGTTGAAAACTTTATAACCCGAATACGGTTCGTTTGTTATTCTGCTTCCGTACTGAACCGTTCCATCATGAGGCGACATGTTTGGTTCTACCATATTACGCATTCAAAGACACAATATTTTGTATTCAAAGCGGGGGATGACTATGTTTGAGTTTTTTTTTTTTTTTTTTTTGAAAAAAAAAGAAGAATTAAAAAAATAATAAGGCAAATATTTTTTGGCTTTAATAATTGTTCTTAAGAATCCAGACCCCTAAACGAGGCTTTAAAATGCCATCAGGCGGAAAGTTTAAAATGGCATTTTGTTTGGCTTTTTATTTTTTTTGGATGGATTTGGGTGCTAATTTGGTGTTGGGTGCTGAAGCGTATTCTTTCTTTCCTCTTTTTTATGGATCAAGCTTATTTGCATTTTTATTTTTTTTTTGTTGCGGAATCATGGCGAAAAAATGAGCAGATCTTCAAAGCATGACATTGTTGTTTATTTTTAATGTTTTTTTTTTTTAAACTAATTTGCCACTTGAAATTTACCTTTTGTTTGTTTTTGTTTTGCATGCTGTCGCTCACATAACAAACACATTGTTGTTGTTGCTGCTTGTTTTTGTTTTAATTTTCGTTTATTGTTGTAGTCTAATGTCTCACATCCAAACGCCAAGTTTTCACATACTTGAACCCATAACACCACCCCTAACAACAACATATTATACACCAACACATCAGCTACAACAACAACAACAACAGCTACTACAACAGCCATCATCATCCTCATCACCATATCAATCACAAGCCACCACTACCTCAAGACAAAGCTACATTTGGCCACAATTGTTTAATACTTTATTACCAATTAATGCGGCTTTTAATAGCTACGAACCGGAGGCGGAATTTGTGCCCCTAGAAGCTCAGGAGAATCCCCACAATCCACATGGACGTACGGCGACCACATCGACATCAACGGCAACATCTAGCAATGGCGAAGATAAACCATTTGGTGAGTTATGGAGATTTTTGTAAATGTATTTTTCATGTAGACGAGAGGAAACTCTTCCCTGAAGGGGAAGGAGATCCTGCGATAGAAATATGTATGTATTCCCATTAACATTCTCACTTCATTCTCTCTCTCTCTCTCTCTCCTCCAGATGTCGATGTCATCACCACCGATGTCAATGGCGGCAATGGCCAGGCCCAACCTGGCCTATTCTTCCATCAATCCTTCCCATTTTTGGGTAACAATTTCTTCAACAGCTTTGGAGGCTTTGGCATTGGCACCCAGGAAGAACCCTGGTGGAAGGGGTAAGTGGAACTAAATTTCAAAATGGAAATATAACAAATTTCTAACGTCTCCCCAAAAGGACTGAAACCTAGGCTAGGAACTAGAGGAGCTTCAAAGTAGGATTTTTAATAATAACCAATAAAAAGCCCCTAAGTTCGGCCGGAGCCAACTTTTAATATCCTGCAACATTTTGAAGGAATTTGAAAAATATAAAAAAAAAATCCGTAGAAAAAACTTCTCAAATTATACCTCTTATGTGGGGGCTATACGAAGACGTGTTCCTTTATAAGTAATTTTTTGTCATAGGCTGTAGTACCTATTGCGAACTTCAATTACAAAATTTGAAACAATTCCGGTGAATAAAACCGCAAAACTCATCAAAATACCGAAAAAAGGGAGGTACAGTTATATGGAGGCTATACGAAGACGTGGGCCTGCACGGACAATTTTCTGTCTTAGGCTGTAGTACCCATTACCAACCTCAATTACGAAATTTTAAACAATTTCGGTGAATAATACCGCAAAACTCATCAAAATACCGAATATCGGGAGATATCGTTATATGAGGGCTATACCGAAACGTGGGCCTGCTCAGACAATTTTCTGTCATAGACTGTACTATCCGATTTTCAAATACTAAATTTGAAAGAATTCGGGTGAATAATGTCGCTAAAATCATTAAAATACCGAATATGGGGAGATATTGTTATATGGAGGCTATACGAAGACGTGGACCTGCACACACAATTTTCTGTCACAGGCCGTAGTATTCATTGCGAACTTCAAATACCAAATTTGAAACAATTCCGGTGAATAATGTCGCAAAACTCATAAAAATACCGAATATCGGGAGGTGCCGTTATATGGGGGCCATACGAAGACGTGGGCCTGCACGGACAATTTCCTGTCATAGGCTGCACTATCCATTGTGAACTTCAATTACAAAATTTGAAACAATTCGGGTGAATAATGTCGCTAAAATCATCAAAATATCGAATATCGGGAGGTACAGTTATATAGGGGCTATACGAAGACGTGGACCTACACGGACAATTTTCTATCATAGGCTGTAGTATACATTGCGAACTTCAAATACCAAATTTGAAACAATTCCGGTGAATAATATCGGGAGATATTGTTATATGGAGGCTATACGAAGACGTGGGCCTGCAAAGACAATTTTCTCTCATAGGCTGCAGTACCCATTACGAACTTCAAATACCAAATTTGAAGCCTTTCCGGTGAGTAATGTCGCTAAAATCATCAAAATGCCAAATATCGGGAGGTACTATTATATGGGGGCTATACCAAAACGTGGTCCTACATGGCCCATTTTCAATACTGAAAGTCCTGCAGACATAATATACATTTAAGTAAAATGTTATCAACCTACTTCAATTATTTTTATATTCAAAGCTTACAACTGAAAAAAAAGAAAAATTTGAATGGCGCCCAATCAATGGGACCTACATAAAAAAATATTTCGATCAATTGGCCCAATGTTAAGTATTATTACGATTCACTCTTCAAAAACAGATTATTACATAAACTACAACAACTAAATCGTGGATATGAGTTCTAAGCTCACAAGTGAAAAAAAAAAAAAACAGCTGAATGGCGCCCAATCAATAGAAGGAAAAAATTCGATCTCTTGGCCTTCAAAGATAGAAGAAGATAGGTGGGATGTGACTTAAACTTCATCCTAGACTACCATAAAGGTGGATTTCTTGTGGAATTTTCAAAGAACCTGGGAGGACTTCAAACGTGAATTTTTGAAGGAATGTTTTAAGTAGTCTTGGAGGACTAGATTCATGGATTTTTTGAGGAATTTTCAAAGAACCTTGAAGTACGACAAAAAAATTGAATTTTAAGGGAATTTTTAAAGATCTGGGGAGGACCATAAATATGTTTTTTTTTGTTGGAATTTTCTGTTTAAGTAGTATTTAAAGAGAAATTTGGCAAAACCTAGGAGGGACACAAACTTTTATTTAAAAAGGAATTTTTGAAGAACCTAGCAGGACCACATACTTGGATTTTGAAGGGAATTTTTGAAGAACCTCGCATGACTATACATTTCGATTCTTTAGGGAATTTTTACATAAACTCGGATGACCACACACATGGATTTTCAAAGGAATTTTTTAAGAAACTAGGAGAACCACAATTGTGGATTTTTAAGGAGTTTTTGGAAAACCTAGAAGTACAATAGACGTCGATTTTTTTCGAAGAAGCTAGGTGGATTATAAGCGGGGACTTTTTTTAAGGAATTCATGAAGAACTTAGGATGACCATAAACTGAGACTTTTTTGAGGAATTTTTGAAGAGCCTCCGAGGACATTAAACATGGATTTTAAAGGAATTTTCGAAAAAAAAAAAACCGGAAGGGACTAGAAATGTTTAAAGGAATATTTGAGTAAGGTAGGAGGACAGTAATCTTGGATTTTTGAAAACATCTTCGAAGAACCTAGGCGGACCATTAAGTTTGATTTTTAAGAAAAGAGGATTTTTAAAGAGCCTCGGATGACCACAAATTTGAATTTTTCAACGAGTTTTTTGAAAACATAGAAAGGACAACAGATGTGGATTTTCTTTAAAATTTTTCGAAAAAGCTAGGTGGAGCATAATGTGGGACTTTTTTAAAAGATATTTTGGAGAACTTAGTATAAACGCGTAATTTTGTGTGAAATTTTGAAGAGCCTCCGATGACCTTAAACAAGGATTTTTAAAGGAATTTTCTTAAAAAAAAACCAGGAGGGGCTAGAAATCTTTAAAGGAATGTTTGAGTAAAGTAGGAGGATAACAAACTAGGATTTTTAAAGACATTTTCGAAAAACCTTTGCGGACCATAAAGGTTGATTTTTAAGGTAGGAGGATTTTTAAAGGAATTTTCAAAAAAAAGAAGGGAAGGGGGTAGAAATGTTTTAAGGAATGTTTGAGTAAAGTAGGAGGACCATAAACTAGGATTTTTAGAGACAATTAAACGAAAGTTTTTAGTATTTTAAACATGGATTTTTAAAGGAATTTTCGAAAAATAAAACAGAAGGGATTAGAAACTAAACTAAACTAGAATTTTTAAAGACATTAGGATTTTTAAAGAACCTCGGATGACCACAAACATGGATATTCAAGGGAATTTTTAAAGAACCTAGGACCACAAATGTGGATTTATTTAAGAAGATTTTGGAAAATCTAGAAGGACATTAAGTGTGGATTTTCTTTACATTTTTTCGAAGAAGCTAGATGGACTATTAGTGGGGTATTTTTTAGGGAATTTTTGAAGAACTTAGGATGACTATAAATTCGAATTTTTATGGAAATTTCGAATAGGAGGAGAACCATAAACGTCGATTTTTCAACGAGTTTTTTGAAAACATAAAAAAGAACAACAGATGTGGATTTTCTTTAAAAATTTTCAAAGAAGCTAGGTGGACCATTAGCGGGAATTTTAGAAGAACTTAGGATGACTATAAATGCGAATTTTTATGGAAATTTCGAAGAGCCTCCGAGGATCTTAAACATGCATTTTTTCGAAGAAATTTTTAATGGAATGTTTCATTAAAGTAGAAGGACCAAAGACTAGGATTTTTAAAGGCATTTCCGAAGAAGCTGGACGGACCATAAAGGTTGATTTTTAATGTAGGAGGATTTTTAAGAAATTTTTGAAATTAGACGAAAGCTTGAGGATTTTTTTGAAGAAATTTTGAGAAGCCTCTGAGGACCTTAAATATGGATTTTTAAATGAATTTTCGAAAAACCGGAAGGGACTAGAAGTGTTTTAAGGAATGTTTGAGTAAAGTAGGAGGACCATAAACTAGAATTTTTAAAAACATCTTCGAAGAACCTAGGCGGACCATTAAGTTTGATTTTTAAGAAAAGAGGATTTTTAAAGGAATTTTCAAAAAAAAGGAATTTTCAAAAAAAAGGAATTTTCAAAAAAAAAAAATTGAAATTAAACGAAAGTTTGAGGAAATTTTACAGAGCCTTCAAGGACCTTAAAAAGGGATTTTTAAAGGAATTTAAAAAAAAAAACACCTGGAACTGTTTAAAGGAATGTTTGAATAAAGTAGGAGGATCATAAACTAAGATTTTAAAAGACATTTTTAAAGAACCTAGGCGGACCATAAAGTTTGATTTTTAAGAAAGGAGGATTTTTAAAGGAATTTTTGAAATTAAACGAAAGTTTGAGGAAATATTACAGAGCCTTCGAGGACCCTAAATAGGGATTTTTAAAGGAATTTTCGAAAAAAAAAAACATAAGGGGTTAGAAATGTTTGAGTAAAGTAGGAGGACCAAAAGAAGTATTTTTAAAGACATTTTCGAAGAACCTAGGCGGATCATAAAGTTTGACTTTTAAGAAAGGATTATTTTTAAAGAAATTTTTGAAGAACCTCGGATGAATGGATATTCAAGGGGATTTTCTCGTGAATTTTTTAAGGATTTTTTTGAAAACATAGAAAGACAAGAGATGTGGATTTTCTTTAAAATTTTTTGAAGAAGCTAGGAGGATCATTAGCGGCGAATTTTTAAGGAATTTTTGAAGAACTTAGGATGAATTTTTATGCAAATTTTGAAGAGCCTCCGAGGACCCTAAACATGAATTTTTTTCGAAGAAACCAGGGATCAGAAATGTTTAAAGGAAAAGTTTCATAGAGGTTGATTTTTTAAGAAAGGAGGAATTTTGGAAATTAAACGAAAGTTTGAGGATTTTTTTTAAAGGATTTTTTTAACTGCTGGATTTTTTGAACTTCGTTGTTGTTATTGTTGTACTCAAAAAGATCCCTCATAATTTGTTGTGGCACATAATTTGTGATATCTCCAGCTGTAGAAATTTATTAAATTGAATAGTTCCCCTCCAATTCAATTAAATTAAATGTGAACGCAACTAAAGCAAAACCCCTAACACACGGTCGTCATCACTCAAAAAAAAAAAAAAACACACACACATAAATATACATTTAAACATGGCATGGCAAAAAAATTACACTGAAATAATAGCCGCTTTTCCATCTGTCAGAGGACGTGTGGACTCAAATAAAAAAATCTATTTTATGTGTGGAAACTTACAATTTCGCAATATTCTCTAAACTCAAAGCTATGTCGTTTTATAGCTATATATGTATGTACGTATGTGTGAACAAACCGTACCAGCATGTATGTGCATATGTGTGTATGTATGTCTATATAAATAATTATCAGACCTCTTTCTCTATACAGCTTGAAGCCACTGACCGCAAACCCTGATCTTTCTACTTGTTCAAAGCTAGTTTGTCTGTCCGTCCGTCCGCCCGTTTGTCTGTCTGTCTCTCTATCTAGCTCAAACAATTTGCCATAATTGCCTATCTGTTTTATTTGCAGTCAGTTTGTTCTGGAAGCTTTTGCTTCACATTTCTTTCAATTTCTTTAGACTACAAGCATCTGGCTAGGAAATTTATTTGTTATACATATTTAGGTGTACATGAGTGTATGTTCATACTCGTACATGTAGAGAAATAATCAATGTTGACATAATCTATAATCAGATACTAAGCCTAACACTTAGATTCGATTATTTTCACAAACATACAAGAACGTTCAATGACCGGTTTCTTATGTGAAATTTCTTAAAATAAATCTATGAGGAATTTTTTTATTAGACATAAAATATATATAAATTTGATAATTTATAAATCAATTGCTAGCACTGTACAGTATGACAATTGTATAACAAAAAAAATTGGGAAATTTGATGAAATTTGTAATTTTTAGCAGCGTTTTCCATGTGTATAACAGTCATTTTTATAGGATATACTGCTCAAACAAGTGGTATATTATTGAAATAAATTGGAAAAAACATATTTTTGAAAAATTTTGCGTGTATAACAGTTAGCCAAAAACTGTTATACAGCCCAATTTTAGTGTAAAATCTTGTCATTTTTCAAGATAATGGTTATGACTGTAATGACCTGCTATTCATTTAAAAAATGCATGTGTATAACAGTTATATTTAAGTGTTACACTGCTCAAACAAGTGTTATATTATTGAAATAAATTGGAAAACAATTTTTTTGATAAATCTTGCATGTATAACAGTTTGCTTGAAACTGTTATACAGCCCAATTTTAGTGTAAAATCCTGTAATTTTTCAAGATAATGAGTTTTAAAGAGTTCAGAGATGTATAATTGTTTGATTTGAACTGTAACACGCCTACATTTTCCCTAATTGTTATGACTGTAATGACCTACTATTTATTTTTATTTTTAAAAAAATGCATGTGTATAACAGTTATATTAACGGGTTATTCTGCTCAAACCATTGTTATGTTATTGAAATTAATTGGAAAACCACATTTTTGACAAAATTTACGTGTATAACAGTTTGGTCAAAACTGTTATACAGCCCAATTTTAGTATAAAATGTAGTATTTTTTCATATTAAGGTATTTTAAAAAGCTCAGAAGTGTATAATAGTTTGATTTGAACTGTAACACGCCAACATTTTCCCTAATTGTTATGACCATGATGACCTGCTATTTATTTTTGTTTTTAAAAAATGCATGTGTATAACAGTTACATTTACGTGTTATACTGCTCAAACCAATGTTATATTATTGAAATCAATTGGAAAATCATATTTTCGACAAATTTTACGTGTATAACGGTTTGCCCAAAACAGTTATACAGCCCAAATTTAGTGTAAAATCTTGTAATTTTTCATTTTAATGTGTTTTAAAAAGCTCAAAGATGAATAATAGTTTGATTTGAACTGTAACACGCCAACCTTTTCCATAATTATTATGACCGGAATGACCCAGTTAATTATTTTTTCTTCAAATTTGTTAAGTGGGATAATATATAACAATTGGACACTGTTCCAAAATTCAAATATTTATAAAAATGTTTTTTTTCTGATTTTTTATGTGTATAACAGTTTTAGTTAACTGTTATGCTGCTCAAACAACTGTTATTCAATTGTATTTAGTAAAAACACTATTATTTCACAAATTTTATGTGTATAACAGTTTGACCATAACTGTTATACAGCCCAATTTTTTTTTTGAAGTATTATAGTTTTTAGGTTGTTGTGTTTTAATAAGTTAAACAATGTATAGAAGCTTAATTTAAATAGTTATACTGCACACTTTTCTTTAATTTTTGTTTCTTTTTTTATAAAAAAAAAACATTTTTAAAGTAGGATAATTAGTAATATGATTCCCATTTGAGGTAGTTTCAAAATGTACAAATTTTTCAAATTATTTTTTATTAATATGCCTCTTTCGGATTTTTTGCATGAGTATAACAGTTTTATTTGACAGTTATACTGCTCAAGCAAGTGTTATATTATATAAATCAAATGGAAAAACTAATTTTCGACAAATTTGAAATGTATAACAGTTTGGCCAAAACTGTTATACAGCCCAATTCTAGTGGGAAATATTATAATTTTTCCACATAATGTATTTTAAGAAGTTAACATGTGTATAATCGCTTAATTTGAACTGTTATACTGTACACTTTTCCTTTTAATTGTTTTTGACAAATCCGTTATTTGTTTTTTTTTTGATCAAAAATACCATTTTTAAAGTGGGATAATTTGTAAAATTGATTCCTATTAGAGGTGGTTTCACCAATGTACATATTTTTCAAATTATTTTTTTTATTAATATGCCCCTTTCGGATTTTTTGCATGAGTATAACAGTTTTATTTGACAGTTATACTGCTTAAAAAAGCGTTATATTACTAAAATCAAATGAAGAACCTCATTTTCGACAAATTTGACGAGTATAACAGTTTGTCCAAAACTGTTATACAGAACAATTTTAGTGAGAAACATTATAATTTTTCCATGTAATGTGTTTTAACATGTTTAAAAGTGTATAACAGCTTGATTTGAACTGTTATGCTGACACTTTTCCAATTTTTAAGACCAAAATTCCTGTTATTTACTGCTCCTTCGAAAACATACAATTTGTTATAAAGGGAATAATTTATAACATTTATTCCAATTAGACATAGTTTTTAAATTGAGATATATCTATATTTTCCTATTTGATTTGTCCTTCTCGAATTTTTTTGCTTGAGTATAACAGTTTTATTTAACTGTTATACTGCCCAAAAAACTTTTATTCAATGGAATTTTGTTGGAAAAGCTGTTATTTGCAAAATTTTAGGTGTATAACAGTTTGCAAAAAACTGTTATACATACCAATTTTAGTTTGAAATATTATTATTTTTCCAGTTAATGTGTTTTAACAAGTTCAAAAGTGTATAATACCTTGATTTGAACTGTTATACTGACACTTTTCTAATTTTAAACGACCAAATGACCCGTTATTTATTGGTCCTTCAAAAAACACCATTTCTTATAAGGAGTTTATTTGAAGAAAAATTAATCCAATTGGACATGGTTTCGAAATTGAGATATACCTATTTTTCTAGATGTGATTTATCCTTTTCGGAATTGTTTGCTTGAGTATAACAGTTTTATTTAACTGTTATACTGTCCAAAAACTGTTATTCAATGGAATTTTTTTTGGAAAAACTCTAGTTTTCAAAATTTTACGTGTATAACAGTTTGCCCAAAACTGTTATACAGCCCAATTTTTTTTAAATGTTATAATTTTTTCAAATTAATGTGTTTTTATAAGTTCAAAAATCCAGCTTTTTTAAATGTATAACAGTTTGCCATAACTGTTGTACAGTAACTTAGTGATAATTGTGAGGGGACAATAAACGTAGATTTTTTTGAGGAATGTTTCGAAGAACTTCCGAGGACCATAAACGAGTATTTTTGAGGAACCTAGGAGAACCATTATCGTGGAATTTTAAATAAATTTTTGGAAGGGAAAAAATAAGTTTTTGGAAGGATTTTAAGGGACTTTTGAAACAATTGCTTGAGAAACCCAATGTTAACATATTTCCTAACCCATTATCTTTCTCTCTTCCAGACCCAATGTCTGTACCGAAAAGGAGGAAGACGAAAAGGACGTGGAAGCCTCCGATGAAACTGAAGAAACTCAAACCGCTGAAGGCACTGAAATTGTCAAACAACCCTCGTATGGCCAATTCCATTTCAGTTTGAATTCATGCGTTGAAAAGCCCAACAAATATGTCTGCACCCGAGTGTAAGTATGTCAGCCAAGGCAGGCGAGGATGAATGATGGCTTGATGTGGTGTCTTAGCAACACCTGTGATGAGCCAACATTGTTCCAAAACCGAAATAAAAAAATCGCCAAATTGAAATGAAAATAGCTAATTTGTTGTTGTTGTTGTTGCTTTGCAGTGTTAACAAAAATGGCAAAAAGAAAACTTTGACTGTTTCACGCCAATGCTGTCACGGCTATGCCCGGCCACGTAATGCCGCTTATGCAACACCCTGTGAGAAAATCGATATCAAAGATATTGAGGCAACGGCCGCCGATATGGGCGCCAAAGAGTTTGTGGCAAAGGCCAAAAGCAGCGGCTTGGCGGACATGATCAGCTCGAGCAAAAATGTAACCATCTTCTTGCCCGTCGATGAGGCGTTCAGTGCCTATGGCGATGCGGCCGCAAGTGAGAATGTAAGTACCACCATGATAGTATTCAAAATGTGATCTGAATCACGTTTCTCATTCATTTCGATTTTTTTTTTGTTGCAGAATGTGGTGGAAATGAAATCGGATGATGGTGTAAAGCAGCTATTCTTGCGCCATGTCGTCGATGGTGAAATCAATTTGGAAGATGTCAGCAATGAGCAGGTCTTGAAGACTCATGCCGATGGCCAGACGGTACGCATCAACAGCTATCAAATGCCTTTGACTCTGAGCCGGGAACCCTATCGTTATACGGCCAACTGTGTGCCCATTGTGAGGCGTGACAAACTCTCCGAACAGGGTATGGTTCATACCTTGGCTGGGGTTATGCCATCGGTTAGCAAGAATGTCATGGATATGATTCGGGAACGTAGCGATATGTCGATAATGCGTACCGTCTTGGAAAATACAAAATTGAGTGAAGTGTTGGAGGGCAAGAAACCGGTTACGATTTTCGTACCCACCGATAGTGCCTTTGACAAGCTGGAACCCCATTTGCGTCGGGCTTTGAAGGAGGGCAAGGGTTGTGCTACAAGTAAGTGACAAAAGCTCGAAAGGGAATGAGCTTTTTAATTGGAAAAGCTCAATGAAGTTCAGTTTTCCAAAGAAAGCTCAGTGAAGCTTTTTTTATTGGAAAAGTCGTCCTGATGAGATTTTCTATAGGAAAAGTCACGATGAGCTTTTCTATAGGAAAAGTCATTGTCCCAATGAGCTTTTCTATTAGGAAACGTCATCGTTCTGATGAGCTTTTCTATGAGGAGAAGTCATCGTTCCGATGAGATTTTCTATAGGAAAAGTCATCTTCCCGATGAGCTTTTCTATGGGGAAAAGTCACATTTCCGATGAGCTTTTCTATGGGGAAAGTCATCTTCCCGATGAGCTTTTCTATAGGAAAAGTCATCGTTCCGAAGAGCTTTTCTATAGGAAAAGTCATCTTCCCGATGAGCTTTTCTATAGGAAAAGTCATCGTCCCGATGAGCTTTTCTATTAGGAAAAGTCATCGTCGATGAGCTTTTCTATTAGGAAACGTCATCGTTCTGATGAGCTTTTCTATGAGGAAAAGTCATCTTCCCGATGAGCTTTTCTATGGGGAAAAGTCATCATCCCGATGAGCTTTTCTATGGGGAAAAGTCATCGTCCCGATGAGCTTTTCTATGAGGAAAAGTCATCGTCCCGAAGAGCTTTTCTATGAGGAAAAGGCATCGTCTCGATGAGCTTTTCTATGAGGAAAAATCATCGTTCAGATGAGCTTTTCTATAGGAAAAGTTATCGTCCCGAAGAGCTTTTCCATGAGGAAAAGTCATCGTCCCGATAAGTTTTTCTATGAGGAAAAGTCATTGACCCTATGAGCTATTATATGAGGAAAAATCATCGCCCCGATGAGCTTTTCTATAAGGAAAAGTTATCGTCCTGAAGAGCTTTTCTATCGGGAAAAGTCATCGTCCCGGTGAGTTTTTCTATGAGGAAAAGTCATCGTCCCGATGAGCTTTTCTATGAGGAAAAGTCATCGTCCCGATGAGCTTTTCTAAAGGAAAAGTAATCGTCCTGGTGAGCTTTTCTATGAGGAAAAGTCATCTTCTCGATGTGCTTTTCTATGAGGAAAAGTTGATGAGCTTTTCTTTGGAAAACTCCATCATGGAAATCTGCCTGTTTTGTTGTTGCCTTGAATAACCATTGTTTTTGTTGTTGTTCTTCTTTCCCTCCAGACATTCTCAAAAATCACATTTTGGATCTGACCTTCTGTTCGGTGGCTTCCGTTGCCGGTGCCAAGACAACCGCCTACAACTTGTTGGGTGAACCCATGCGTTTCAATCGCTCCAAGGCATCATCGGACGACAGCAAGGCCGAGCAACCGGTCATCATCAATGGCATTGCCAAGATTATGGAGGCTGATATTATGGGCAGCAATGGTGTGATGCATGTCATCGATACCATCATGCCCACCGAATCGGCTCTGCCCATGTCTTCGCTGATGCAGGAGAAAAATGTAACCATTTTCAAGAGGCTATTGGAGGCAGCCGGTTTGGATAATAAATTCGATGACATGGACAATGTAACCGTTTTTGCTCCCACCGACAAGGCTCTGCAGAACAGCAAATGGGCCAAGCTATTGGAAGAGAATCCGGAGGGATTGAAAAACAACCAAGAATTGGTGGAATTCCTAAACTATCATGTCACCCAACCCATGGTCAAGACCTGTGACTTGGAGGTGAAACTATTGCCCACCATTGCTGGGGATAAGGTGCGCATTAATCTCTACTCCACCCATGCCTTGTTCTCCAATGTCATGAATCGTGCCACTGTCAATTGTGCCCGTCTTATCCATTTCGATGACGAGAGCTGTGGTTCGGTACTGCATCAGGTCGACAAGCCATTGACACCACCCAAATCGAACCTCTTGCAAATGTTGGAATCCAATCCGAATTACAGCAAATTCTTGGAATTGGTACGCATGGCCAATCTCACTGATCTGTTGGCCAATGCCGATGAAGATTTCACTTTGTTGGTGCCCAAGAATGATGTCTTCGAGGAGTTGGAGGATACACTGAGCAAAGATCAAACGGAATTGGAGAATTTGATCAAGACCCACATTGTCAACGATGTGGTGTGTTGTGCCGGCATCATACCCACCAATTGGCCATTTGTACGTTCCATTGAATCCTACAATGGCCATCATTTGCGTATCACCCGCGATCGTCGTCCAAAGATTCAAAATGCCGGCATTACCAAATGTGACAACGTGGCCACCAATGGCATTGTCCATGAAATCAACGATGTTATTATCCCCAATTCCAGACAGCGCCAACCGCAGGATCAGGAGCACCAACATGTCCCCCACTATCGGCCCCATCATCATCAACACGGACAGGTGCCCAGACCTCAGCAACAATTCCCCAATGCCGATGATATTTTTGGTGATTTATTTTTCTAAATCGGAATGTCGGGATCCACTGATCCGTTGATCCATTGTATTGAAATTATTATATAAAAGAAAAAATATTCTAATTTTATAATTTATATATAACAACAACAAACAAAAAAAAACAAAAATAATAATATTTATTAAGCCCTCGAAATAAACATTTGATCTGATAAGGAAATAAAAAAAGTCAAAATCTCAAATTATTCGAATATTTCCCACTGAAATGTCGAAACAATACTATACACACATTCATACATACATACCTATACCTATATATACGTATTGTACTTGAGATAAAGGAAGTGTATTCATTTTATAGAACCGAAACCCAAAATCGAAAAAGAAATCGAAACACAAATAAAACAAACCCCTTAAAAATAATTTAGTTTTGATTTATTAAGAAAAGACACTGGGCGAAGGGAGTCCTTTTTGGACGAGCTGAGGGGAAGAAGGGGGGAGGGTAATTTTTCTGAGGGAAATCCAAAAGGATAGAAGATCTCCTGTTGTAAGTAATAGTGGAGTTAAAGGGCCAGGAAGTACCAATAAATGGCAAAAGTTAAAAGGATGTCAAAGGCTATTGAGTCGATATTACAGCGATGAAGGTTCTGGGAGCTAGAAAATGATTTTTCCGTACGGAAACTAAAGGCTCAGGTAGTCAAAATAAATGAATTGACCTAAAATAGAGCAGCTAAAGGCCAGGAAGTGTATTATTATTTTAAAGGTCAGGGAGTATTTATTAAGGACTGAAGTACTAAAAAACCAGGGGGCTAGAGATAAAGGTCAAATAGTCCTCAAAGACAAGGTGAAGAAACCCTAGAAGCCTGTACCGATACACGAACTTGATCAGAAGGGTCAGGTGGGGTATATGGGCCTCCTGTAGTCAGTAATAGTGGAGCTAAAGGGCCAGGAAGTCCCAATAAATGGCAAAGGTGAGGAAATGTCAAAGGCTATTGAGTCGATTTGGGAGCTAGAAAGCCTATACCCTCTATAGAGCTGAAAATGACTTGGGTTTAAATTTTAATACAGGAAAGGCAAAGTAATTTTTTCGCACGGAAACTTAAGGCTCAGGTAGTCAAAATAAATTAATTGACCTAAAATAGAGCAGTTAAAAAAAAACGGGGCTAGAGAGCCCCTATAGATGAAGTAACGGCCAAATAGTCTATAAAGACAAATTAAGGAAAACCAAGAAGCCTTCAGCTATACACGAACTTGAACAGGAGGGTCAGGTGGGGTATAGAGACCTCTTGTAGTTAGTAATAGTAGAGTTAAAGGGCCAGGAAGCCCCAATAAATTGAGTCGATATTAAAGCGATGAAGGTTCTGGGAGCTAGAAAGCCTATACCCTCTATAGAGCTGAAAATCACTTGGGTTTCAATTTTAATACAGGAAAGGCAAAGTAATTTTTCCGTACGGAAACTGAAGGCTTAGGTAGTCAAAATAAATGAATTGATCTAAAATATGGCAGCTAACGGCCAGGAATTCTATTATTATTTTGAAGGTCAGGGGGTCTTTATAAAGGAGCAAAAAAACAGGGGGCTAGAGAGCCACTATAGATGAGATAAAGCCAAACCCAAGAAGCCTGTAGCTTTATACGAACTTGAACAGAAGGGTCAGGTGGGGTATATAGACCTCCTGTAGTTAGTAATAGTGGAGTTAGGGAGCCAGGAAGTCCAAATAGATGAGCAAAAGGGAGAAGATGTCAAAGGCTATAGAGCCGATATTACAACGATGAAGGCTCTGGGAGCTAGAAAGCCTATACCCTCTATAGAGCTGAAAATGAGCACCTAAAGTCCAGGAAGTCTATTATTATTTTGAAGGTCAGGTAGTATTTATTAAGGAGCTAAAAAACCCAGGGGGCTAGAGAGCCTCTTTAGATGAGATAAAGGCCAAATAGTCTGCAAAGACATGGTGAAGAAAACCAAGAAGCCTTTAGCTATACACGAACTTGAACAGGAGGGTCCGGTGGGGTATGTAGACCTCCTGTAGTTAGTAATAGTGGAGTTAAAGAGTCAGGAAGTTCCAATAAATGGCAAAAGTTAAAAAGATGTCAAAGGCTATAGAGTCGATATTAAAGAGATGAAGGTTCTTTGAGCTAGAAAGCCTATACCCTCTATAGTCTGAAAATCACTTGGGTTTCAATTTGAATACGGGAAAGGCAAAGCAATTTTTACGTGCGGAAACTGAAGGCTTCGGGTAGTCAAAATAAATTAATTGACCTAAAATAGTTCAGTTAAATGCCAGGAAATCTATTTTTATTTTGAAGATCAGGGAGTTAGGGAGCCCCTATAGATGAGGTAAAGGCCAAATAGTCTGCAAAGACAAGGTGAAGAATCCCAAGAAGCCTGAAGCTATATAAGAACTTGAACAAGAGGATCATGTGGGGTATGTAGAGTATTTAAAAAGCTAGGTATTCAAAAACAATTAGTTGTAGAAGGAGGAGGAGGTTCCTCGCTTCATTTCCACCAAAATCTCCGGATACCAATCCGTTGGACTATTGTGTCTGAAATATTTTGGAAAGCAAGGTTGGCACTAAAAAAAATAGCTGAAGCAAGCGCTACGCCGGGAATGGGCCAAAATACCGCAGAGAAATATTCGGGCAGCGTGTGACGGTTTAATTGACCGTTTGAAGGCCATAATTCGTGCCAAAGGTGATCAATTCAAACAAATCTAAACTTATTCTAAAATTTGATGCTATTTCCGATATTTTTTGCTTTCATTTAATAAAATTTAAAAAAAATGTAAAACTTATGGCGTTTGACTTTGTTGCAGTTTTTTTTTATCTCACCCTGTATTTGAACTACTGCTCTAGCTGCTCCAGTTGCACCAACGAGGAAAATATAAAATTTCATCTCCGATGTTTTTTTCTATGAAAAAATTCACCAACGAACTTTTGATTTTTTTTTTTTTTTTGTAAAAAAACCACCAACGAAAACTTTTTCTGTGAAGGACATTTTTATGGAACTTATTCACCAAAAATGTATTAACAATAAATTTTCCTATAGGAAATTTCACCAACGATGAAATTTTTTCTTTGGAAAAATTCACCAACATTTATCTTTTAAAATTTCACCAACGATGAATTTTTCTATGGAAAACTTCACCAACGATGAATTTTTCTATGGAAAACTTCACCAACGATGCATTTTTCTATGGAAAACTTCACCAACGATGAATTTTTCTATGGAAAATTCCACCAACGATAAAATTTTCTATGGAAAATTTCACCAACGATGTAATTTTCTATGGAAAACTTCACCAACGATGAACTTTTCTATAGAAAATTTCACCAACGATGACATTTTCTATCGAAAACTTCAACAACGATTAAATTTTCCATGGAAAACTTCACCAAAGATTAAATTTTCCATGGAAAACTTCACCAACGATGAAATTTTCTATGGAAAACTTCACCAACGATTAAATTTTCTATGGAAAACTTCACCAACGATGCATTTTTCTATGGAAAACTTCACCAACGATGAATTTTTCTATGGAAAATTCCACCAACGATAAAATTTTCTATGGAAAATTTCACCAACGATGTAATTTTCTATGGAAAACTTCACCAACGATGAACTTTTCTATAGAAAATTTCACCAACGATGACATTTTCTATCGAAAACTTCACCAACGATGAATTTTTCTATGGAAAACTTCACCAACGATGAAATTTTCTATGGAAAACTTCACCAACGATGAAATTTTCTATGGAAATCTTCACCAACGATGAAATTTTCTATGGAAATCTTCACCAACGATGAAATTTTCTATGGAAATCTTCACCAACGATGAAATTTTCTATGGAAATCTTCACCAACGATGAAATTTTCTATGGAAAACTTCACCAACGATGAAATTTTCTATGGGAAAACTTCACCAACGATGAACTTTTCTATAGAAAACTTTAAAAACGATGAAATTTTCTATAGAAAAATTCACCAACAATAATTTTTTCTATGGAAAACTTCACCAACGATGAATTTTTCTGTGGAAAACTTCACCAACGATGAATTTTTCTATGGAAAACATCACCAACGATGAAATTTTCTATGGAAAACTTCACCAACGATGAAATTTTCTATGGAAAACTTCACCAACGATGAAATTTTCTATGGAAAACTTCACCAACGATGAAATTTTCTATGGAAATCTTCACCAACGATGAACTTTTCTATAGAAAACTTTAAAAACGATGAAATTTTCTATAGAAAAATTCACCAACAATAATTTTTTCTATGGAAAACTTCACCAACGTTGCATTTTTCTATGGAAAACTTTACCAACGTTGCATTTTTCTATGGAAAACTTTACCAACGATGAATTTTTCTATGGAATACTTCACCAACGATGAATTTTTCTTTAGAAAACTTCACCAACGATGAAATTTTCTATGGAAATCTTCACCAACGATGAAATTTTCTATGAAAAACTTCACCAACGATGAAATTTTTTATGAAAAAATTCACCAACGATGAAATTTTCTATGGAAAACTTCACTAACGATGAAATTTTCTATGGAAAACTTCACCAACGATGAAATTTTCTATGGAAAACTTCACCAACGATGAAATTTTCTATGGAAAACTTCACCAACGATGAAATTTTCTATGGAAAACTTCACCAACGATGAAATTTTCTATGGAAAACTTCACCAACGAAGATATTTTCTATGGAAAACTTCACCAACGATGAAATTTTCTATGGAAAACTTCACCAACGATGAAATTTTCTATGGAAAACTTCACCAACGAAGATATTTTCTATGGAAAACTTCACCAACGATGAAATTTTCTATGGAAAACTTCACCAACGATGACATTTTCTATAGAAAACTTCACCAACAATTAAATTTTTTATAAAAAACTTCACCAACGATAAAAATTTCTATGGAAAACTTCACCAACGATGAAATTTTTTGTAGAAGACTTCACCAACGATGAATTTTTCTGTGGAAAAATTCACCAACGAATTTCTATGGAAAACTTCACGAACGATGACATTTTTTATGGAAAACTTCACTAACGAGAACTTTTCTATGGAAAAATTCACCAACGATTTTCCATGGAAAACTTCACCAACGATGAAATTTTTTATGGAAAACTTCACCAACTATGAAACTTTCTATGGAAATCTTCACCAACGATGAAATTTTCTATGAAAAACTTCACCAACGATGAAATTTTCTATGGAAAACTTCACCAACGATGAACTTTTTCATAGAAAACTTCACCAACGATGAACTTTTTCATAGAAAACTTCACCAACGATGAAATTGTTTATAGAAATCTTCACCAACGATGACATTTTTTATAGAAAACTTCACCAATGATGATTTTTTTTTATGAAAAACTCACCAACGATGAATTTTTCTATGAAAAACTTCACCAACGATAAAATTTTCTATGGAAAACTTGAAAATTTTTATGGAAAACTTCACCAACGATAAATTTTTCTATGGAAAATTAACCCACGATGACATTTTTCTATGGAAAACTTCGCCAACGATGAATTTTTCTATGGAAAACTTCACCAACGATTCGAAAACCTCACCAATGATGAAATTTTCTATAAAAAAAAAACTTTACAAAGATGAAATTTTCTAGGGAAAAATTTCTTATTAAGTTGCTTGCAAGTTTGTGACGAGATTCCGTCTGTTTACTTTTCATAGTTTTCTTGCCAAAGGGAATACAAGTATCCTACTCTCTCAGAAAAAATTGCTGGAGATTTACTGCAAGTATATCTCATTTTCTATACCATATGTTTCCCATTTCCCTTAAATTTTTTTTCCAAAAATGGATTTAGTCATTTTTGTGTTTTACACGATACCCTACATACATTAGTACATACCTATGTATGAATATAAAATCTTCTATGAATGACACTTTCCATCCACCACACCGCTTCTCTCTCCCTTGCCTACCCACCACCCATCTGTCAAGTGTGCATGTGGAATTGCAAGCAATTATCGCTCACCGAATTAGAATGAGAGCGGCGTTTACTCAAAAAACATTGCGATTTGTTGATAAAATAAAAAAATGCAACAAATTCTCGCGCGTAAATAGAAATATTTAAACGCTCACACTTTCTGCCCTGGCTATCAGTATAGATCGGAACATCGGGGCGTTGTTGGCAAAGATTGCGAAATTATTCTAAAAAATAAAACAAAATGACTTCCTCTGACTTGCCTGCCACCTTTACCAAAGGTTTCCACGATGAAGAGGCCTGTAGAAAAATGGAATACCGGCAATTTGGCGCAACCGATATGAAGGTATCCAAAGTGGCTCTGGGTGGGGGTACTTTGAGCACCCTCTTTGGGTAGGTGCCACTCGATTGTGTATGGCTGGAGGGTAAAATAAATAAAATTAATTTTCTTGTCAATTGCTTAAAAAACAGGGAATTCGATGAAGCAGAAGCTATTGCAACAATACACAAGGCACTTAAAGTTGGTATCAATTATATTGATACGGCTCCCTATTATGGACAGGGACGTTCCGAGGAGGTCTTGGGCAAGGCATTGAAAACTGTACCACGTTCGGCTTATTACCTGGCAACAAAGGTGGGACGCTATGAAAAAACCTATGATAAGATGTTTGATTATTCCGCCAAAAAGACAAGGGAAAGCGTGGAGAAGAGTCTGAAATTGTTGGGGCTGGACTATGTGGATGTCATACAGGTAAGGGGGGGAGTGGAGTTGGGTTCTTAAGGGTGGAGTGAATAGCTTGGATTTATTGAAGAATAAATCTGGCATTCATTTCCTTTTGAGAGCTTAACTGTGGCTTGTGTTGTATTCTCTCGGAGAGAGAAGGAGAGAGAGTCAATTTCCCAAACAAATGATCATAAAACAGTGTTGCCAATTTGGTGTTTTTTTTATTTATTTACTTCATTCTTCCCCTGTTTACAGATCCATGACATCGAATTTGCCAAAGATTTGGACATAGTTTTAAATGAGTGCCTACCGGAATTGGAAAAACTGGTCAAGGAGGGCAAGGCCAGATATATTGGTGTATCCGGCTATCCACTGAAGGTGCTCAAGGAATGTGTTGAACGGGCCAATGGGAGATTGGATGTAAGTAGAAATTATCCAAAAATGAGAACAAAACAAACCTAAAATCCCTCCTCTCTCTCCCAAAAGGTTGTCCTCTCCTACGCCCGCAATACCCTTCTGGATGATAGCCTAAAATCCTATTTGGAATTCTTTCAAAAACAAAATCTCGCCATTGTCTGTGCGGCGGGACATGCCGTTGGCCTGCTGACCAATCGCGGTGCCCAGCCCTGGCATCCGGCCGGCGATGAAATCAAACAACTATGCCAAAAAGCTGCCAACATTTGCAAAGAGTCCAACATCGAACTTGGTAAATTGGCCATGTATCATTTCATGCAATTAGATGGACCGGCTACTTACCTGGTCGGCATGCAGACTCGCCACCTGTTGGACATGAATTTGAGTGCCCACTACAGTGGCCTAAACAAAAAGGAACAGGAAGTGTTGCAGCTCTTGAAAGATACGTAAGTCGACCAAACAAACGTATTTGGAAAAGTTGTCCTAGTCATCTGACTGGTTTCTTGTTTTTGTCCAAATGCCATTTCACATTGGCCGCCATCTACGGTATTTTATCGCTTGTAACATGTCTCATGTCAGCAAAACAAGAAAAAAAAAACTGAAATTGTGCAATTCGGGTACCATGTAAACGTGTTGCCAGGAAGATGAACAAGTCAGCATAAATGGCTGCAATGTAACCACCACTTTGAACCAGACAACTATCCTAGACTTTGCATTTTTTCTGTTGTCAATTGCATAATATGTGTCGTCCATCATCACATCAAGTGTCCATTTTGTGGGGCTAAATGTCTTGTCACAAATGCAATGGAACGGTTAGGAGGAAAAAGTGAATAAGTCCAATGAAAAACAAGAAATTATAAACTTTTCAATTATTTTCAATTTTCTGTAAAAAAGATCATCGTTGGTGAAATTTTCCATAGAAAATTTCATAGTTGGTGCAGTTTTCCATAGAAAAAATCATCGTTGGTGAAGTTTTCCATAGAAAATTTCGTCGTTGGTGAAGATTTTCATAGAAAAATTAATCGTTGGTGAAGATTTTTATAAAAAAATTTGATCGTTGATGAGGTTTTTTATAGAAAATTCCATCGTTGGTGAAGTTTTCTTTAGAAAATGTCATCTTTGGTGAGGTTTTCTATAGAAAAGTTCATCGTTGGTGAAGTTTTCCATAGAAAATTTCATCGTTGGGGAAGTTTTCCATAGAAAATTTCATCGTTGGTGAAGTTTTCTTTAGAAAAGTTCATCGTTTCTATAGATAAGTTCATCGTTGGTGAAGTTTTCTATAGAAATTTTCATCATTGGTGAAGTTTTCCACAGAAAATTTCATCGTTGGTGAAGTTTTCCACAGAAAATTTCATCGTTGGTGAAGTTTTCCATAGAAAAAATCATCGTTGGTGAAGTTTTCCATAGAAAATTTCGTCGTTGGTGAAGATTTTCATAGAAAAATTAATCGTTGGTGAAGTTTTCTATAGAAAATGTCAACGTTGGTGAAGTTTTCCATAGAAAATTTGATCGTTGGTGAGGTTTTTTATAGAAAATTTCATCTTTGGTGAAGTTTTCCATAGAAAAATTCATCGTTGGTGAAGTTTTCTATAGAAAATGTCAACGTTGGTGAAGTTTTCCATAAAAAATTTCATCGTTGGTGATAATTTCTATAGAAAATTTCATCGTTGGTGAAGTTTTCTATAGAAAATTTCATCGTTGGTGAAGTTTTCTATAGAAAAGTTAATCGTTGGTGAAGTTTTCCATAGAAAAGTTCATCGTTGGTGAAGTTTTCCATAGAAAAGTTCATCGTTGGTGAAGTTTTCCATAGAAAATTTGATCGTTGGTGAGGTTTTTTATAGAAAATTTCATCTTTGGTGAAGTTTTCCATAGAAAAATTCATCGTTGGTGAAGTTTTCCATAGAAAATTTCATCGTTGGGGAAGTTTTCTATAGAAAATTCTATCGTTGTTGAAATTTTCCACAGAAAATTTCATCGTTGGTGAAGTTTTCCATAGAAAACTTCATCGTTGGTGAAGTTTTTTATAGAAAATTTCATCGTTGGTGAAGTTTTTTATAGAAAATTTCATCGTTGGTGAAGTTTTTCATAGAAAATTTCATCGTTGGTGAAGTTTTCCATAGAAAATGTCATCGTTGATGAAGTTTTCCATAAAAAATTTCATCGTTGGTGAAGTTTTCTATAGAAAATTTCATCGTTTGTGAAATTTTCCAAAGAAAAATTCACCGTTGGTGAAATTTTCCATAGAGAAATTCATCATTGGTGAAGTTTTCTATAGAGAAATTCATCGTTGGTGAAGCTTTCTATAGAAAATTTTGTCGTTGGTGAAGTTTTCCATAGAAAATGTCATCGTTGGTGAAGTTTTCCACAGAAAATTTTATCGTTGGTGAAGTTTTGTATAGAAAATTTTATCGTTGGTGAAGTTTTGTATAAAAAACTTCAACGTTGATGAAGTTTTTTTTTTTGTGAAATCATGAAATTTTTCAAAATTTGATTTAATCACTTTCCCCTTGACATCTTAAAGTCCTCTCCAACTTCACAAAAAATGGCTCAACTTGTTGCAACATTAAGAGGTAATTTGTGGTGGTGATGGTGGTGCCGGACAATCAATCAGTAGCCTACTATTAAAATGTTGTAATGTTGTCTTGATATTTTTTTTGTTTGTTTTTGCTTCGTTTTGTTGTAATCTTTCATTAACATCTCCATTATTAGCAAATTTCACGATCATTATCAATGCTAAATTAAAATAAAAACATTAAAAAAAACACATTGTTATGCTTACTTTTATTTTCCTTGTTTCTTCCTCCTTCTCCTCCTTGTTTTCTTGATCTTCCTTCCGCGGATTGCTGCAACCATCACGATGTAACACTATCCGCCGAGAAGTGTTTTTACCAAGTCACTCAACTGGGAGGGCAATGAACTGGAATGCTACTGGGCAGCCATGAACAAGAAGAAATGAAAAGGAAAATCGGCCAATTAATTTTTCATTCCCCATAGAAAGATTTTATAAAAATTTTCTGTGTGATTTTTTAATAAAAAATATAGTGTGAAATTTGTTAATTACTTTCTGTTTTATTTGTGATGGGGATTATAATGAAGATTGATTGAAAACGATCATAGAGTTACGTGATCAGATCCAAATTAAATTTTTTTTTTCGAGGGTCAGATAATGTTGTTAGGATTAGAATATAGAAAATTTCCAAAGAAAATTTCATCGTTGGTGAAGTTTTCCATAGAAAATTTCAACGTTGGTGAAGTTTTCTATAGAAAATGTCATCGTTGGTGAAGTTTTCCATAGAAAATTTCATCGTTGGTGAAGTTTTCTATAGAAAATTTCATCGTTGGTGAAGTTTTCTATAAAAAATTGCGTCGTTGGTGAAGTTTTCTATAGAAAATGTCATCGTTGGTGAAGTTTTCTATAGAAAATGTCATCGTTGGTGAAGTTTTCCATAGAAAATTTCATCGTTGGTGAAGTTTTCCATAGAAAATGTCAGCGTTGGTGAAGTTTTCCATAGAAAATGTCATCGTTGGTGAAGTTTTCTATAAAAAATTTCATCGTTGGTAAAGTTTTCTATAGAAAATTTCATCGTTGGTGAAGTTTTCTATAGAAAATTTCATCGTTGGTGAAGTTTTCTATAGAAAATTTCATCGTTGGTGAAGTTTTCCATAGAAAATTTCATCGTTGGTGAAGTTTTCCATAGAAAATTTCATCGTTGGTGAAGTTTTCCATAGAAAATTTCATCGTTGGTGAAGTTTTCCATAGAAAATTTCATCGTTGGTGAAGTTTTCCATAGAAAATTTCATCGTTGGTGAAGTTTTCTATAGAAAATTTCATCGTTGGTGAAGTTTTCTATAGAAAATTTCATCGTTGATGAAGTTTTCCATAGAAATTGTCATCGTTGGTGAAGTATTCTATAGAAATTTTCATCGTTGGTGAAGTTTTCCATAGAAATTTTCATCGTTGGTGAAGTTTTCTATAGAAATTTTCATCGTTGGTGAAGTTTTCCATAGAAAATTTCATCGTTGGTGAAGTTGTCTATAGAAATTTTCATCGTTGGTGAAGTTTTCCATAGAAAATTTCATCGTTGGTGAAGTTTTCTATAGAAAATTTCATCGTTGATTAAGTTTTCCATAGAAAATTTCATCGTTGGTGAAGTTTTCCATAGAAAATTTCATCGTTGGTGAAGTTTTCCATAGAAAATTTCATCGTTGGTGAAGTTTTCCATAGAAAATTTCATCGTTGGTGAAGTTTTCCATAGAAAATTTCATCGTTGGAGAAGTTTTCCATAGAAAATTTCATCGTTGGTGAAGTTTTCCATAGAAAATTTCATCGTTGATGAAGTTTTCCATAGAAATTGTCATCGTTGGTGAAGTATTCTATAGAAAATGTCATCGTTGGTGAAGTTTTCCATAGAAAATTTCATCGTTGGTGAAGTATTCTAAAAAAAAATTCATCGTTGGTGAAGTATTCTATAAAAAAATTCATCGTTGGTGAAGTTTTCCATAGAAAATTTCATCGTTGGTGAAGTTTTCTATAGAAATTTTCATCGTTGGTGAAGTTTTCTTTAGAAAATTTCATCGTTGGTGAAGTTTTCTATAGAAAATTTTAACGTTGGTGAAGTTTTCTATAGAAAATGTCATCGTTTGTGAAGTTTTCCATAGAAAATTTCATCGTTGGTGAAGTTTTCCATAAAAAACTTCATCGTTGGTGAAGTTTTCTATAGAACATTTCATCGTTGGTGAAGTTTTCCAAAGAAACTTTCATCGATGGTGAAGTTTTCCATAGAAAATGTCATTGTTGGTGAAGTTTTCCATAGAAAATTTCATCGTTGGTGAAGTTTTCTATAGAAAATTTTAACGTTGGTGAAGTTTTCTATAGAAAATTTTAACGTTGGTGAAGTTTTCCATAGAAAATGTCATCGTTTGTGAAGTTTTCCATAGAAAATTTCATCGTTGGTGAGATTTTGGTTAGAAAATGTCATCGTTGGTGAAGTTTTCGATAGAAAATTTTATCGTTGGTGAGGTTTTCTATATAAAATTTTATCGTTGGTGAGGTTTTCTATAGAAATGTTCATCGTTGGTGAGGTTTTCTATAGAAATTTTCATCGTTGGCGAAGTTTTCTATAGAAAATATAATCGTTGGTGAAATTTTCCATAGAAAATTTCAACGTTGGTGAGATTTTCGATAGGAAATTTATTGTATTCCGAAGTATATATATTTGTGACATACTGCCTTTATATATATTTTTTGTATTATTCCCCCCAAACAAATTGAGGTTAAGTTCGAAGCTTCCCAATGGAATTTGCCCAACAAACCTGTGGCATAAACGTGCCAATATTTTAATGATCACAACAAATGATATGATTTTTCTCTTCTTGTTGTTGTTGTTGTTAAAACTCCAACTAGAAAGGTAATCTATAAACTACTTCCGTCCAGTACTGGCTGACACGCGATATAACCGAAAAAAATAATGTCGAATGCAGCGCCAACAGCAAAACGCCATTAATAAAATACGAACAATAAAAAAATGCTGCATTGCTCATGAAATGTTGTTTCGGAAGTTAATCCAAATTTTCTTTTGGGGTGGCTAAGAAAACGGTAGCAGCAGCAGCAGAAAACACTCAAGCATCAAATGCGGAAAACTCCCAATAATTGTTCCGTTTTGTTTTCCTTGCTTTCTTTTTCATTTTTTGCAAAACATCAGTTTGGGAAGTGAATATTGGCATGGGCTGGGAAATTTAAATTATTTTGTTTGATTATATAATAATAAAAAGGGGGAAATTAAAATAGAGCTATAGTGGACTGGGGTAGAAGGATTTAAAATAAGGTCGACAGGAATTGTCCAATCATTTTTTTCTAAGAGAGTAAGGTAGTTCTATTCTCTTTTACGAGACAACTGTTAAAAGCAAACATGCGGAGGCGGGCAAAACTTTGCAAGCAATCAGCTGACTTGTCAAAACAAAACAATTTATGCGCCCTAAATAGAAACAAATCACAAAAAAATTGTATTTTGCTAAAAAAATTAAAAAACGAAAATTATCAAAAAAAGGAAAATGTTCCGATTTTGCAATTTTTTTTTTCAAAAAAAAAAAAAAGGCAGTAAGTTTGGCCGGAACAAACATTGAATACACTTCACTATTTAGAAATTTTCATAAAAAAATAAAAAAAATTAAATTCTTAAAAATGCTCTTAAATTACTAAAAATACCGAATATAGTGAGTCACAGTTATTTTGAGGTCCAAAAAGTGGACTCGCATTGGTAATTTTCTGTCACATACTGTAGTACCCATTTCGAAGCACAAACACGCAATTTGAAACAATTACAGTGAATAGGGTCGCCGAAATCAGCAAAATATCAAATATAGTTAGGTACCGTTATATGGGGGCTTTCTCTTATAGGCTGTAGTACCCATTAGCAATTTCAAATACGAAATTGGAAACAACTCGGGTGAATCAGCAAAATACCGTATACAGGGTGAGATGAAAAAACTGCAACCAACTTCAGACTGCTGTCATTTCTAAGCCACTCGTTCGACAGCTGTTAAAATTATTCCAGTGACAGCTCATTGTATTGTTTACCAGCGAACAAAAGCATTTTGATGAGAATTTTCCAGAAAAAAAGTTATTCGTGATGGAATTCAAGCGTGATAGTGTGATTTCCTTATATTTGGCTGGAAAACCACGAGTGGCTATCATTAGAGCACTCCAGCATTTAAATGTGAATAAACCTTTTGCGTCTCGTACCATCGCTCGTTACCTGGTGATACTGGTAGCGTAGCTCGACGTCAACAGCAACATCAGCAGAAATGTACCGACAAGTAAAGAAGCGACTTGATCGAAACCCGCGTCGCAGTGGCCGAAAATGGCTCGTGAGCTGAACATATCGCAATATTCCATTCGGCAAATATTGAAAAATGAGCTCTGGGTAAAGCCATTGAAATTCCAAAAAGTTCAAGAACTTACAACACAACAGAAAGAAAATAGACTCAAAAAAGCTAAAGAGTTGCTTTTCGCTTGGCCGAAAGTGTTGAACTGTCGAATTTGGTTTTCTCCGATGAGAAATCATTCGTTGTCCAGCAGTTTCGAAACAAACGAAATTATCGTGTTTACTTAGTGCTGAATGTGCACCTTCGGTCGGCCACCCGAACTCAAGCGCCGTCCATGGTGATGGTGTGGGCCGCCACATACAGCCGATGGTCGCCCTCAGCTCGTATTAATCGACCGTGGCATCAAAATAAATGCCGAATATTTTTGCGAAAATATTCTGGAGGGTGTATTAAAGCCTTGGGCACGCAAACATTTTGGTCGCAGACCTTGGACATTCCAACAGGATTCGCACTCAGCACGCGCCACCCAAGAATGGTAACAAAATGAGGTTCCTCGTTTCATTTCCAGCGCACAATGGCCACCAAAATCTCCGGATATCAATCCGTTGGACGACTATTGTGTCTGGAGTATTTTGGAAAGCAAGGTTGGCCCTAAAAAATACCAAAGTGTCGATCACCTCAAGCAAGCGCTTCTCCGGGAATGAACCGAAATACCGCTGAGCAACATTCGGGCAGCGTGTGACGGTTTCATTGTCCGTTTCAAGGTCATAATTCGTGCCAAAGGTGACCGATTCGAACAAATCTAAACTTATTCTAAAATTTGATGCTATTTCCGACATTTTTGCTTTCATTCAATAAAATTTAAAAAAATGTAAAAATTGTGGCGTTTGACTTTGTTGCAGTTTTTTTTATCTCACCCTGCATATCTGCCAACCCCTTCTGGTATCCAACCCACAAAGAGTCACAGTTTTCGATGCTTTTTTATCTGTCATAACTTGTGAAACATAACTTTACGTTTTGCTATATCTAAATGTGTCTCTTAACCAGAAATCTGATATGAATGTGTAATTTATCGAAATGTAGGATTTCGATGTTCTTCAAATTTTGCACATATAAATAATTTTATCTGTATTAGATAAAGTATGAAAATGGAATACTTCGGTCCAAAAATTTGCATTTTCATATAAAGTATAGAAAGTGGTCGATATAGTCCAAATCTGGCACGTTGTAATATTTATATCAGTCTTAGGTCCGATAAGATTTGGTCAATATTGGGCAACTGCTTCGAAACGTACACTATAGAGGGTCAACAGTTTGAATAATCACAACTCAAGGCTGGGGGTATACAGCTGTCGGCATAACCGACTGATATTATTTTACTTGTTTATCTATCGGAAGATTAATGACCCGCCTACGACGTTGTCGTTCTTTTATGACAACGCCAGACGATGACTTAAGGCAAAAAAAAAGAAAATCCTCTAAGAACAGTGTTGGCTTGTTTGTTCGGGATACCATAGTATTTTGTTGTTGCAAAATGGTCAGGCTTAATCCCTTTATTGTTGTTTTTATAAAAACAATGTTTGTTTATTGGTGGAGAACGATATCTTACCCCCTGGTAGACGTTACCATAGTTCTCCACTAATAAACAAACGTTGTTTTTATAAATAAAGGGATTAAGCCTGACCATTCTGCAACAACAAAAAATCCTTCCACATATTCTCACCTACTTCCCTATGAATAACCTAATTTCCCCCATTATTTTATATTCGACCCACTCTAATATTCAATTATGCTGATAATGTGGGCATTGATGTGCACACTCATAACATTTCCCGATGCAACATAATACCTATCACAAACCGAAACCAAATCGTAATAATTGCATATGTCGTTGCGCCTGTGCACCAGACACGTTTAACAGCAACAACAACAACCACAACACCATAGAGCCAGAGTTAAAGGCCACTCTGCAGCAATAACTAAACATAATATTATTATTTATGTTTACACATGGGACTCCTCTGTGCCAGGTAATATCATCATCATCATCATCGTGGAGTAGGCCAAAAGAAGAAACTTACAACAGTAGTGTGTAAAGAGGTGCATGAATTAAATTCATGATTTAACAAATCTGGGGCTGACTGGCTGGCTACTCATTTCTCTTTCTCTTCTGGCCACAATTACACAATTGTTTCATGTTTTTGTTTTTTTTTTTTTCTGGTTGCTACGTCTTTCTACGTTGATCTACGCTGCAACCCCCCAAACCAACCAACCACTCTCCAGCGCTTTTCTCTTCGATTGGCCATTGTGGCGGCAGGGGTTTTATATGGCTCAGACAAAGCGTTCAAATCATCAGTTGACTTTTGGGCTCGAAAACGTAAACATAGCACAATTTCATCGAACGTTTGTCCACGGATCTGCAAGAAAATTTAACAACAAAATATATATTAAAGAAAAATTAAATAAATTATAAACCAAAAAAACCGAATTAAATCTTTACAACAAAAATGTTTGTTAACAACAAAAATGTATTACTTACCGTTTATGTATTGAGTGTCTTCTTCGCGGTTTGTTTGGCCAAAAAAGATCATCAGCGGCACCAACAAAATCAACAGCAAAAGCAGCAGAAACAACAACAACAGCAGCAAGGTAAATGAAAATGAATCAAGAGTTTAAGCTTCTTGTAACGTTGTTGGTCATCTACCACCCGCCCCCGTTTCAAGAACAAATACAATGAGAAAAGAAATTTGTGAAAGAACAACGAAACCGGTTTCCCCAAGCTATTGTTTATGGATTCAAACGCCCGGTGACGGGTTGGCATTGTCGTTTTGTGTGGAAGAGTGTTTTTCTTTATCTGAAACGATGGAAAAAGTATATTAGCCAGAACAAAATAGTGGCGGAAAAAAGTACACGAAAGAGCAAAAAAAAGTAAAAGCGTAACCACAGTGGATGTTTGGAAATGTTCCATGACATTTATAAGGAGACGACGTAATCGGAATGGTAGCAGAGAGAATTTGGGAGTATTAGGAAAGAAAAAATACTATAAATGGTAGTTCATAACCATTAAAACATCTATAAATTGAAGATATTTCTCAAAAAACGTAGATATATATATTTTTCAAGGATCAACAGAATTTCTCAAGGATTCTTTTTATCTGCAACGTGGATAGCTTTTTAAAGAATATTTTCCAAAAACCATCTGCACCACAAAATGTAAAATTAAAATGTTCATACCCTCCACCATATGTAGGTATATTACATTTGTCATTCCGTTTGTAACTCATCGAAATGGTCATTTTAGACCCCACAAAGTGCGTATATTCTTGACCAGCAAGTCTCTCTAACTTCCGAACAAACTGAAGTTGAAATGAAATGAAGGCATCGATCTTCGGCATAAATTACATATTCATATCAGACTTCATATTAGACTAACAAGTTGTAAAGAATCGCCGATTTGTTTCGGAAATTGTAATCCTTTGGGTTATATATCACCTTCGAAAAAGATCTTTCGTTAGAAAAAAAAAAAAAATGGATGTGTGAAATTTGAAGAGAGTTGGATGCTTATTTAGCTTTTTTTGAGCGTTTTGTTTTTCAAAAATCTTGAAACCTATGTGGGGGAGGTACCCGTAATTTCCCGTTTTATAAGCTTCATGAATACTCAAAATTTCGACCCTTTGTGGGGAGGTACAAGAAAGAGTGGACAGATATATCCAATTTTCACAGCAGATCTTGTGTTGGTAGAAATATTATGATGTGTGTAGTTTGAAGAGAACTGTATGCTTATTTCGGATTTTATGATCGTTTTGGTTATTCAACAAAATGACCCCTTGGGGGGAGGTACCAGAAGGAATGGTCCGATCTCTACCATATTTTTAACAGATCTTGTATTGATAGAAATATTGTGTCTGAATGGAATCAGATGCTAATTTCGCGTTTTATGAGCTTCATGAATTTTCAAAATTTTGACCCTTTGTGGGGAAGGTACCTGAAGGAGTGGACCAATATATTCCATCTTCACATCAGACCTTGGGTTAATAAAAATATTGTGATGTGTGTAATTTAAAGACCATCGGATACTTACATCATACTTATAAGAGTTATAATTATTCAAAATTTCGACACTTTGTCGGTGAGGTACTTGATGGAGTGGACCGATATTGTCCATTTGCTCACCTGACCCAGCACTGATGCAAATATTAAAATATGCAAAGTTGGAGCAAAATCGGATTATCGTTTCTCTTTCTGTGCAGTAAATTTTCTTTGAAAAATTCGACGTTTTGTTGGGGAGGTACCAGAAGGAATGGACCGACATTGCCCATCTCCGAACTCGATTTAAGTTTGATAATAATATTACGATGTACCCAGTTTGAACCAAATCGGATACTCCCTTTGAGAGTTATCGTGAGCACCAGCCAGCCAGAGAGACAGACGGACGGACATCGCTAGATCAACTCCAAATGTCCTGAAACGGATTTGGTCCAAAGAGACCTGGGGTCTTAAAACGTTATTTCGATGTGGCACGTTTTGGCTGTATCAAATTATATATACCCTCTCTAGCCATATGGCTGAGGGTATAATGAAGTAGGTTGATGAAATTCCACACAGATGTGTTTTAGGTCTCCATGACATTTACTATTGATAATGGGATACATAGGTCCACGTTTTGGTATAGACCCCATACAACTATACCGACAGATTTAAGTTTTGTTTTGATATTTCAGTCACAATTTCCATTTGTGTTCCCAGAATGTAGGAAACATCCTTGCAGAGAACTGTAGATTTATGTCCAAGTTTTGGTATAGTCTCCATATAACTGTACCTCCCGATATTCCATATTTTGATGATTTGTGTCACACTTTTCACCGGATTCGTTTTTCAAATTTGGTATTAGGGGTTCGCAATGGGTACTAACTTCTATGTCAGAAAATTGCCTCTACAGGTCCACATCTTCGTATAGCTCCCACATAATGGTAACTCCCAATATTTGATATGTTGATACATTTTTGACAGAATTATCTCAAACTTGGTATTTGCAATTCGCTATAGGTACCACCTTCTCTGGCAATTAATTGGCTGTAGAGGTCTACGTTTTCGTATAGCCCCATATAATGGTACCTCCCTATTTTCGGCATTTTTATGATTTTGCAGACATTATTCACCGGAATTTTTTCAAATTTGGTATTAGAAGTTGGTAATGGATACTACAGCCTAAGACAGAAAATTGTCTGTGCAGGTCCAGGTCTTCGTATAGTCCCCATATAACGGAACCTCCCGATATTTGGTATTTTGATAATTTTAGCGACATTATTCACCGGATTTTTTTTTAAATTTTCTATTTGAAGTTCGTAATGGATACTACAGCCTAAGACAGGAAATTGTCTTTGCAGGTCCAGGTCTTAGTATAGCCCCCCTATATAACGGTACCTCCCTATATTTGGTATTTTTATGATTTTAGCAACTTTATTCACCGGAATTGTTTCAAATTTGGTATTTGAAGTTCGTAATGGATACTACAGCCTAAGACAGAAGATTGTCTGTGCAGGTCCACGTCTTCGTATAGCCCCCCATATACTAATGCCTCCCTATATTCGGTATTTTGATGATTTTAGCTGCATTATTCCCGGTTTTTTTTTCTTATGCAAGACGTTGCCTATGCAGGTCCACGTCGTCGTATAGACCCTAATATATCGGCTACATTCGGTATTTTTAAGATTTGAACAGAATTATCAACGGATTCAATTTTTTTTTTAAATTGTCAAATTTGTTCCAAATGATGGAGAGTATTAACAATTTCGACCCGGCCGAACTTACAGCTTTTTTACTTGTTTAACAGAATAATCTTAAACTTAATGTTTGGAGTTCGTAAACGGCACCACCTTCTTTAGCAGATAATTGGCTGAAAAGATCCAAATTTTCGTAACATCTGAAATTTTGTTTTTTTTTAACTTTTTTTAAATTTTGAAAGTTCCTTCCAAATAGTGTCCCATAATCCCTGGATCCTCCCATTTTACAACTGGCGACTTACTAAAAAAAATATTTTTTTATTTTCAGAATTGTGGGAACAAGATCTCTCGGATACGTTCAAAATTGAGGGTTCCGATCAGGGCATACAAAAAGTCAATTTGAAATGTGGTTCCGATTCGATGCATGTCGTTTTGGAGACAGAAAAACCATTTACCGGTGTCATGTATACACGTGGTAGTTTCTACAAACAAGCTGCGCCGTGCTTTGTCAAGTCCACCTCTAGCTCCGGTGATAAATCATTGGAAATGAGTTTTGCCCTGGATCAATGTCAAACGGTTAAGGACGGCGAACTCTATTCGAATATTGTGGTCATACAAAACGATCCGGAATTGATAACACCCGGTGATTCGGCATTTTCATTGGAATGTGATTTCCGACAGCCACGTAATCTGGATGTTGAGGCTTCCATGCAGACCAGAGACAGGTAAATATTTTGTTTGTTTATGTTTGTAATGCTTTTGCGATGAGTGTTTATGTAAATACGAATGTTTTGCCAACAACAAAAAATGTACAAAACTTTTCAATGCTAGACAACCACAAAAATTGCGAGGATCAAGCCGACAACGCCAATAGATAGAAATTGCAACCACATACAAATCAATCAATCCAAATGCCTCCTTTTCGCTCTCTTCCTCTGCGCCTCCTAGTAAGCCAAGTTCATAGATTGTAAATACGAAGAAGGTATTTAAAACAAGAAACGAAATAGCAATTTAAGAACAGAACACAGAAACTGCATTTAAAGAAAGAAAACAAAAAACTGGTAAACATTAAAAAATAAAAATACTAGAAAATAAGAAAAAATATTAAAAGAAAGCACCATTAACAAAACACTAACGCACATTAATTATTACAGAATTGCTTATGGTTCGAAAATAACACTAACAAGTCCTGATCCCTCCTCCACAAAGGATTCAGGCAAATCCCTGCACTCGACAACAACAACCACAGTTAGTAACAATACAAACACAGTTAGTTACATACCCAAAGAAAAACTCAAGCAAGCCAAAAAATCGAAATCCAAACCAAAGACACAGGCACGGACACCCACCAACAGCATGACCAAGGATGGGGACAATGAAGACAAAACCACCATACACTTGGGTACTGTGGAGGATGTAACACACATTTACACCAGGGAAGAATTATAAAATACCAAAAACAAAAGACACCCACCAAATGCTTTTTCTGCAATCCAAAACACACATAGTTGCAAGGTAAAGACACCTTTTGGGTTGGGTGCCGGGTTTTAACATTTATATTCCTCTATATTGAATTTCTATTAATTTTCGAATTTTTAGGAATAGTACTGCCAACCCATCTACTACAACTACGACTACCACTACATCGACCACGGCCACCACCACTGCCATCAGTGCTAATACTACCAGTACAACAACGGAGAAGCCTAAAATTTAATTTGAAATCACACTAATATTCTTCAAAGGCTATTATTTATTTTTTTTTTTTTTAATCTAATTGTTGTCTCTAATTGCCCTGTGATATCTTTTAAATTGTGGTTTTGAAAAGAAAAAAATTAAAAGAATTAATAAAAACAATTAAAAAACAAAATTGTTTTGGAACTGAAATTATCAAATCGGAAAATGCGAATATTAAAGACGTTTGACAGAAAAATGCTTTAATTCGCTTTGTTTTTAGAAAGAGTATTCTGCTACTCCTTGATTTCTAGCAAAAAGAACAAGTAAAAAAGACGAACTTTGGATATCGTCCATCGTTTGAAACGAATTCGGCAATTTTAGAAAACAATAAAATCCGTTACGAACTTCAAATACAAAATTTGGAATGATTCCGGTAAATAATGTAGCGAAAATCATCAAAATACCGAATATCGGGATGTACCATTATATGGGGGCTATACGAAGGCGAGGACCTGCACAGACAATTTTCTGTCAAAGGCTGAAGTATGCATTACGAACTTCAAATACCAAATTTTAAACAATTCCGGTGAATAATGTCGCTAAAATCAACAAAATATCGAATATAGGGAGGTGCCGTTATATGGGGGCTATGCGAAGGCGTGGACTTGCACCGACAATTTTCTGTTATAGGCTGTAGTATCCATTACGAACTTCAAATACCAAATTTGAAACAATTCCGGTAAATAATGTCGGTAAAATCGTCAAAATACCGAAAATAGGGAGGTGCCATTATATGGGAGCTATACGAAAGCGTGGACCTGTACAGACCATTTTCTGTCATAGGCTGTAGTATCCATTTGGAACTTCAAATACAAAATTTGAAATAATTCCGGTAAATAATGTCGCTAAAATCGTCAAAATACCGAATATCGGGAGGTACCATTATATGGCGGCTATACCAAAACAGGAACCTATACATACCATGTTTCGTCAACGGAGCTAGAACGCAATATGACCTACAAATACCAATTTTTAGACAAAACCGTGAAAAAAATGTGGCGAAAATTTACCGAATATCGGGATGTACCGTTATATGAAACGTGGTTCTGCATACAAAAATTTTTTTCATAGGCTATAGTACCCATTACAGTTATGAAATTTGAAGTAATTCCGGTAAATGCAATCGATAAAATCACAAAAATACCGAATAGCGGGAGGTACCGTTATATGGGGGCTATACGAAAACGTGGACCGAAATATCCGATTTATGAACTTAACCTGCCTACTGGTAAACTATGCATGTATGCAAAATTTTAGCCTTCTATCTCAATTCGTTCGAAAAATAGGGTGATTACAACAGACAGACAGAAGGACATCGCTGGATCGCCTTAGAATTTTACGCTGATTATAAATATATCGTGGAGTTAAAAACGGAATGACAAAGTTAATATACCCTCCATCTTTAAGATTTTAAGCTGAAACTAATGGATTTTAGAGTTGTGGTTATACACTGGTTGAGCATCAACATCGGGAAATTGTCTGTCAGTCAGGTGTTTCATGGATAAAGAGAATAATATCAAAATTCTCATTTCAATACCCTGACAATTTATTTGTTTTGCCAAGCGTCCTTACAGTAGTCTTAAACATCTGAACAAAAATGCCTCAGTTCGTAAATTACAAATCGTAGCGGAAAAATGAAATACTTCAAAATCAAAAAAATAAAACATTAAACAAATGTACATACATAATTAATAATGTCCACTTACCTTCATGTTTTAATTATGAATCTTGAATTTCTCGAAAAATATAGAATTTGATTTTTAATAGTAGCCAATAAAGGATTCTTGGTTTCAAATAAAATTTAATATTGACGGTCAAATTGTAACATTTTATTCTAAATAAATATTTTTATTAGTAAAAAAATATTTAATAATTAATTTTCGTAAAAATTTACCTGTTTTAAAACTATAAATGCATTGTCATCAAAATATCAAACTAGGCAAATTACAAATAATTCAAATCAAATATGGATTACTAACATCAACTTCTTGTTGTATTGTACAATCGCTTATCCATTAATTTAAGGACTTCCAAGCCAATCGAAGTAAATTGCGGCTGTAGATAACGTGCAAAAATCTCAAGACCTTTAAAATTAACAGGATCCTCTAGAAACTCTCGTAGCCAGGCCACCAAGGGGGGTTTATGTGAATGTATTATACTCGGCACACTTGCCATAAACTCAACACTCCTTATGCCATCCAACTCCTTTACATTTCTATCTCTATGGCATAATATGAATAACGTTTCATATGGTTGTTTGTAGCCCAACGATTTTATTGGACTTATCAAATCACCAGCGGTATTAAATTTAAACCATTTCAGTGTGTGCACAATCTTCAAATTCCATTTGTCCAAAAATTCGGTTCGTACTGCATTCAAATGTTGTGAAGCATTTGTACACCATAGTGCTAGCAAAGAATGCATGTGCATCATTTCTGGAATTGGTATATTCTTCAAACTCTCATTATCGAGCATGTGATAGGCCAGCGATCCATTAACTTTCTTCAGACGTTTAATGTATTTATTTTGCCATGGCATATCCATAATTATTAGATCATATTTTTCCAATTCTGGCAAAAGTTGTGGTAATTCGGTGACATTGTGATTGTAAAATTTACAATTTGGTGGTATCAAAAAAGACTGTGGGCCAAATGTGGTTGTTTGAAAATCACATGTATTGTTGGCACCATGGAATTTAGGAAACTCAATTTTCTCCTCCCAAGCACGTGATATATTTTCCATGTCATTTCTGTACTCTTGGCGTATTAAATTTTGAATTTCGGTTAGAAATGGTTGCAATGATTTCTTCAATTCTTCACATTCCTCATTTTCCGTTTCCGCTTTACGTTTTCTTTTGTTTCTGGGGGGTTCTTCTTTTTCTTCTACTACCTTGGCTTTGAAATTAAAGAGCTCCGATTTTAATTTATAGGATTCCTTATCTTCCAGAACCTCATTGTATTGATTTTGTATCAATTTATTGTGATTTAAATACAAACAAATACGATTTTCCTTATGAATATGATATGACATCGTCAAGGAGTTACGAGAAACCAAAATGAAAAACGTCCCCAACGAAACAAATAAGAAAGGCAAAAAGGAATGCCCGATAAAAAAAATAAAGGTAAGGCAAAATCCTCGAGTAGAATGAGTGTAATGCATAATGCCGAGGAAAACGCAATTAGCTGGAAACATTCCTTAAATGAGACATGGAACTAGTTGTTAACCAATAGGAATCTAAAAATTGACTTTTGACTAAGTCACTTTGAGTATCTACAGAGCCCTACAGATCAAAAAGCGAGGGGAAACATGACACTGAGTAGTGGAAACGTAAATGCAACGTACACAGTACGTAATGAGCGTTTCATTGATAAACAACCATCAATCCCTTCTATACCCCATATTTTCCACATTTTAATATTGGAAACAATATAGTTTTAACTGAATTGTTTCCAAATAACCTTTGATGATCTTCCCGAAAAAGTCTATTGGAAAGTACAGTTTTCATAACCTAAATGTGTAAAAAGTGCAAAAAAGTCTAAGAACGCCATTTCTAGTACGGGTATAGTCAAAATTTAAGTTGTAATCGAGGTACAATAATTTCCATATAGATTAGGTTGATGTAATGTGAAAAATACAACTCTGAAGACAGAGGTTTGCAACTTCAACTTTTCAGGTGATTTCCATGTTTGTCTTGAAAATTAATTCGCCATGGTTGTAATTACTGATTCAGCAAATTTTTGGATTTTTCCTTTGCTTGTTAGCTCTCTATCAATTTTAATTTTAGTAATTTTTTAATACATCATTTTCAATTGATATTGAACATTTTTACTTCCATTTTGTTCATTCGTTTTAAGACCCCCCCACTTCACCATTAAAACACCACTTTTTTAAAATTATTTAGAACATTTTCTATTTTTTTCCGTTTATAATAGTGGTTTAACACATTTAACAAAATGTGATATCGTAAATAAAATTTAAAATATAAAAAAGAGGAAACAAAAAAGATTACTGCTAGTAAAATTGTTTTCGCACCAAATATTTCAACGAACAAATGCGAGAAGTTTAATATAAATTTCCCAAAAATGCAATGTTCGATTTGTTTTTCTTTGGCAAAAATGCGTAATTCAGCAGTCAACAACGGGTCATTTTCATTTTCTTCTACAGATAACAAAGCCTTTCTGATTTACACGACGTGTCTTGTTTTCAATGTGGGAGGCATACGTACAAATATGATATTCTTAAACAACAAATATAAACCTTAAGAATAAGTATTTACAAAACAAAAAGAAGTCCCTGTGTTATTTCAAATCCCATTTAAAGGAGACGTAATTTAAACGGTAATAAAAATCTTAAATTACGTCCCTGTACAAATTGGTTTTCTGTCTATTTGAGTGGCTGTATGGGATATGGCAGTTATTAAGCTTTGCAGTTTTGTACTTCTTTTTTTCGCTTCAATTTACAGACATCAGGAAAGCTCTGCTTTTATCTCAGTGTTGTTTAGTGTGTTTTTTTTTCTAAACTTAAAACTTAATTAGCATTAAAGTTAAACTGTAGGTTGGTTGTAAGGTTAGTGATATTACTAACTAAATAGTAAATGAAGATCGCAACTAAAATCTAATTCGATTTACCACCTGTAATAGATTTGTGATCTAAACGTTCTTGTTCCGACAACCAGGCCATCTTCTGTTTGTGTTGTTGGGCAGCAGCTTCTGCTCTATCCAAGACCATTTTTTCCGTCAATACACCATCTTCGGAGGCATAAACGGCTGCTTGCCAGGAGACACCCAATTTGGAAATTTCACGACCAGACATGCCCTCGCACATTTTAGCCATTTTCGAACAGGCTGCACCATAATCGAATTGCTCCAATTTGAAACGCCTGGAAAGGGGGGAAATCGTTAGTTCTTTCTTAATCAACGTTTGTAAATCAAAAGGAAACTCACTTGGCTCCTTCGGCTGCTGGTTGCAACACATATTTATCGAAATACAAGCGTAGGAGACGTTCACGTTCTTCCAAACCGGGTAGGGTGAATTCAACCATTTCATCCAAACGATCGTTGATGGCATAATCAAATTGTTCGGGTGTATTTGAAGCCAATACCAACATGAACTTGGAATTTTGTTCAGATGTACGGTACAAGAATGCATTAAGAGCTGCTCTCAAATCTTCTGAAATGTGCTCCGAGGAACGTTTACGCAAGAAGGCATCAGCTTCGTCAACAAACAACAGCAAGCCACGACGACTGGTCTGGGACCAATCGAACACTTTGTGGATAGCAGTGACGGCTTCCTTGCCCATTGGGGCAACATCACCACCAGTCATAATGGCATAATCCATACCCGAATGTTCGGCAAGTTTTTTGGCAAACATAGTCTTACCAGTACCGGGTGGACCGTGCATAAGGATATTTCTGTACATGCCACGATTAATGCGAGTATTTTTGGTGGCAATAGCCACGTCTCTTAAACGTTCCTCCAGTTTGGGATTAAGGACAACACCTTGCAATGCATCAGCCGGTTTCGATTTCAATTTCTTGACATATTTGATGGGATGTTGAACAGCGTCCAAAATTGCAAAACGTGAGGTTTCTCCCACCAATGTTGGTTTGCCTATGCGAGATTCAATGTAACGTGATGTTACACCAGTGGCACCCTTGGCGGCGTAGACACCCAAAGCCAACAATGACAAACCTCCGGCTGCCGTCAAAACTTTATCCCAATCTGTAAGCATGGCCTCGACACCAGTACCAATAACTGTGCCGGCAGTTCTAGAAAAGACAGTAATTAACTATTTTGTAGCTTAAATAAATCTTTGAAATACACACTTGATACCCTCCAAGATAGTTGTACGTTGTTCCTGAGCCTTCAAACGAATCTGTTCCAAATTGATATCACGATTTTCCCGATCAACCTTGGCTTTGACACGCATTTCATGTTCCAACAGTTTTAAGCGATTCTTTTCCTTCATTTCAATTTCATGTTCAATGGTTTGGCGGCGCATAGCTTCCTGGCGGGCCACACTTTCTTCTTGTCTGTTAGAGGAAAATAAGATAAGTAAGTGAGTTATGTAAACATTTCCAATCTAATTTCCGATTGACTTACTTTCTCAAGTTTTCTTCCTGGACACGCTGTTGCTGGGCCAATTGATCTTCATAACGTTTACGGGCCAGCTGATCTTGATATTGGGCACGTTGTTGTTGTTGCTTTGTCTCTTCCTATAGGGGATCGAATATTAATATTTCAATTTGTATCCTTTAATATGAAATGTAGCTACTTACAATCAATGTCTTCCGTCTCTCCTCATGGTCAATGCGCCTTTGCTCCACCTTGGCCTGTTCAATATGGGCCTCATACTCTTTGACCTTTTGTTGATATTCCTGTTGACGGGTAACCTCCTGCAGTTTGGACAGTTCCAAAGCTTCACGGGCATGTCCTTTAAATAAAACATTTCATTAGCTTTTCAACACTTCCTATTGCTACCCAAATCAAAAAGAATACACATGTACACACACAAATGATTATGCAATTGTGTGTGAACTCCATACATACAACCCCCACCCCTTCCAAAGATTAAATTGATTATTACACCAATTAAGATTGGATGATGAAATAACTTACTTGACCTTTCCAATGTTTTGGCTGCCTCTGCAGCTCTCTCCAGGGCAGATGAATCGAAACGATAAGCTTCCATGGCCTTACGTTCGGCCTTCGACAATTGGGCATCCCCAGAACGTTCGCCGGCAGTTGCTCCATCAGGATTTCCACCATCACTGGGTGGCACATCTTGGGGCTGCTGGGGCCTGTTTCTTCCCAATAACCAAGACATAGCGTAATTTGAGTTTAAAGTTTAGTTTTTAATAGAAAAAATCGTTGAATTTTCGACAAAAATCTCTTCTGCAAAAACGTGATAATGGAGTGACAGCAGACGTAATTCTAGGGATATGTAAGTCGACTGCCGATTAATCGAATAATCGACTTTTAGTACTCATAGTTCTGAATCTGGTGAATCAAGTAGATTTTAGTGTTGCCATGACACAAAGAGTCGCATTTGTTACACCTTAAACAGAAGCGTACAAATACGACAACAAGTATGTATGTTTCCCAGAAAAGATATTTTTACTGGCTTCAATCATCCGCTGGATTCTTTGTAATAGAACAAAGAAGCGTAAGATGAAAAAGTATAAATTATAGCTGAACAAATATAAAAATATTGAACTAAGTTAGTCGAAAAAGCGAGCCAATGAACTAAAGCCGCTATCACACAATAAGGGTTTTACATATGTGCTGTCACTTTTATTTTCCATGTGTATTTCCGTGTGTAGCAAATTTTGATAGTTGATTTACGGAGAGTTTGCAAAAATTTACTTCGTAAAATGTATCTTGTTACATGAACTTATTGAAAAACAGCTGCAGTTTGGCCGTGGCAATATGTTTACAAATTTTAGGCAATAGCTTTGATTTATTCATTATTTTTATTATTAATTACATTTTTGCAGAGTTTTGACGTTTCACTAGACTACATAAGTCCTTTTTTAAAATCTTCGAACTTTGGCAACACTGAAAAGAAAGACAGCACAGAAAGAAAATCTCAATAAAGATGAGAATCAAAAGGGAAAGGCCGACAACACAAATGGAATCAAAACAAAACGGCCGACAACATAAGAACAGCTGACTACTAAAGAACAAAGTCAAACGGTGCCAGCATTACCGGCGACAGCACCAATCGAAAACTAAGTGGAGTACACACTATACCAATGCCCACACGTTTATTCTGTTTTCGGTCTGACTCTGAAGTTTTGTGTGAGGCATGCTAAAAGCGGAACGCGTTTCAATGCGAGCAAAGCACGTCCAAACAAGGGTAAAATATTTGAATATTGATGAAAAGTATTTCATTTCATAAGATTCATAGAATTTATTTTGATTTCTATGTGTTTTTAGGGTAAACGAAACCTTTGAAATAACTGGAACATCAGAGACAAGAAGAAGCAAGGCTTTCAATTTGATCGAAACTACGGTAATTTTTAACACGCCTAAATGCCTTTAGTTGTTTGTTAGTGGGGGAATCTTGGAAGAATTTAATTTATAAGCCCAAAGATGTACGATATAAACCAAAAGACCATTTTCGTATTGGATCATACCCAGTATTTCAGTATATCCAGTGAAGATTATGTGCCGCTGGACTTTCTAAAGGGAAAGTCAAATAATCCATCCGATCCGCCGCTACCGGCATCATCACAACAAAATCTACAATTTAGTAAAAGTTTATGGACATCCTCGGTGGAGTCCTCCATTGAATATTGTCGCATTGTTTGGGATCTCTTTCCACGCGGCAAGTTGATACGTTTCATTGTCAGTGATACGGCCGCACACATAGTGAATACATGGAAATTTGCCACACAAAATATGTCGCATGTGCTGAATGCCATGGCCCTGGTGGGTGTGCCACAATGGAATGCACCCCAATCATCGGATTATTCTGTAATACATGGTCTGAGGGCAGCCATAGAAGCGCTGGCTGAACCAACTGAACAGCAATTGATTTTGATGCAGAATCAAGAGGCCGGAGCAACAGGTTTGGAGAAAATTCCCAACAAAGGCAGGGTTATTTGCATTACATCGGCCCGGGACAATCCGAGTATGAAAAGCTTGGAAGATATTTTCCACAATGTCCTGCTGCAGCAGAACACTGTGGCTATGGCACAGAAGAAAATCTTACCTATTGATCATTGTCATTTGGTCATAATCAATATGGTGCCGATGAATAAGGAAACATTGGTAACGAACAGGGCGAAAAAAGATCTATCGCCATGTTTGTCGACAGAAATTCACACAACAAGTGCTCCCGAGATTTCCAATAAGTTGACACATTTGATAATGAGTCATTATGATTTGGCCAGTACAACGGTGACGGGGATACCCATGAAGGTATGTGTGCTGCATTATGGTTATATGGTTTTTAAAAATGGTCTTTTCAGGAGGAACAAAACGCCAATTCCAGCGCAAATTATGATGTGGAAATTCTACATGCTCGCAATGCCCACACCGCAATATGTGGCAATGAAGCTCTGCTACCCACTAGCATAAAAGAGGGGGCTGAATATGAAACGGTGACACTGAAATGGTGTACACCGCGCGGTTGTGGAGCCTCTGATATGTCAGCTTGTCCTCCGTGTTTGGCCCAACATCGTGTTACTCCCGTTGATGTGACAAGTAGGCCCTCATCTTGTCTCATCAATTTCCTGTTAAATGGTCGTTCTGTGCTGCTGGAAATGCCAAGGTAAGGAATTTTGTTTAAAAGATGCATTCTGTGAGATAAATAAAGGAGTTTATTTTGTTTTACAGGAAAACTGGCGGTAAAACCACCAGTCATTTGTTGTCGGCCCGCGGAGGAGAAATTTTCATACATGCTCTGCAAATTACCCGTTCCTGTCTGGAGGATCCGCCATCTATATCAGAGGGTCCTGGTGGCCGTATAACAGATTATCGCATAGCCGATTTTGCCGCCTTCATTAAAGCCCACCGTTTGGTGCCATTAAAATCCAAAGTCAAACCAGAAGACAATTTGCACATTGCCCGGGAACGTTTGTACAACAGATCGTTATACTTTCCTCTTACCCTATCGACGACAATTGTTTTCAATCTACAACGTTCCCTAGCCTGGTTGCCAAATTTTCTAAGGAAAATCGCCAAAGAAGATATGGACAAAACGGACGAAATACAATGTCAACAAAATATATATGATCTCTATACGGCCTCGACCAGAAGGGAGTTATTGCCATTTTCAAATTTGAATGCCAACAGGTAAATTTAGATTTTGTTATTCCAAAGAAGCTTCCTTATTCGATTTTTAAATTTTTCAGAATAAAAGGCCACAAGAAGGTGGATCAATATAAATTATTTTGTGCTGAATTGGAGGTAATCATAAAAAGTTGTGCCTCCACACCGTATCATAAAAAAATACTGGAGAATATACAAAATGTAAGGGCAGCCTGTGGTGATGCAACCGTTAAATCAGAATTGGATGCCACAAGTAAGTTATTGCAGTTGAAAATTTACAACATTATATGTTCATGTGTATTTTCGTAGGTGATCCCAGTGGTAAGACCATAATAAGAGCCACAACCGATTCCCCATTGTCACCACCGCATTCCATGGACACCAGCAGTTCGGGCACTGGTCATATATCAAAGGCAACTAAGCGAAATTTCAGCAATGTGGGCCAAAGATCCCTGTTTGATATTGTGTCAAGTGCTGAACGTTCACAGTGCAGTAAACGTACTGACTTTTCGGGACGTTTGTGTACACCGTTGGGTCAGGTGGCTAAACTTTATCCAGATTTTGGCTTAAAAGATGCTGATGGTTCAGCGACAACAGCAACACCAGTAAAGGAAGAAACGTTGGGTATTAAATTGGAAGTACCTGGCATAAGGACCTAGTTCTACTTAAAATTGGAAAGGAATTCTTATAAGTCTTTGGAAAATAAATATAAGTTTTTGAAAGCGAATGGATACTTAAGGGCTTTTACTATTCCTACGTTGTCGCTACTCAAACTTGTGGATTTTTCGTATCGTCATAGGGAAACATACCATTAATCTATTCCCACAAAACTGAAACTTTGCAGGACGTGTGAACAGTAACTTAGATACATATTTGAGTTTCTTTGTTCAACATTTTCATTGCGGCTTTGTTGTTTATTAAGAAAATTATGTCATTAAAAATTTAAAATTCAAAATAAAAATTTTGGTTATTTCTAAAAAAATCCTTTCTCTCTTGGAAAAAATTCCCCAAAAAAATATGTATCCTCCTCCCTCTACCAAGAAAATTGTACAGATTTCTGAAGAATCCTTGGCTCCCACCTATGGTAAGCCGAAAGATAATTTATTCTTTTCAAGTTAATTCGTCTCCACCCCTCATTTCAGTTCACTTTGTTGTTGACAATGAATATTACATTGCCACACAACAGGATATGCGAAAAATTGAAGATGTTCGTTTGATAAGTTTTCAAAAATTACAACAAAATGGCAATGTTTATCCCATTGATCCCCAGTCGGTGGAATATCTGCTGCAGGTGTTGAAAAGTGGAGCGGCAAATATAATTTGTGTAACAAATAAATCGAACGATGTTTATCCTCAACCTATGGATACCTCTCCGTGTGGTGCAAAATATTCCATTGAAGAACAATTGAAATGGGATAGATGCAGTAATACAAAGCAAATGCCTGTAGGTATATTTTTTCATAGCTAAAGTCTATAATTTTTGAAAGATAACACTGTGCAACACAAAAAAATTATTATGAGGAGAGATCAGAAGATTATGAAAGTAGTGCTAAAAAAGAAGACACGCGTATGGGTGTTTTGAAAGTTTACATTGAAATGTTACCAAAATAGAGGTAACCTCTCTTGCACACTTTGGGCAGGTTTTCGGATTAAGACTTCTCGGAATCCCTGAATTTTGGGTATATAGTGTCTTTGGCAGTATTACAGATAAAAATACGAGGAATATTTTGCTAGAATATTTTAACCCTCAAGCGAGTCAACAAATGGGACTTTTTGCTCCTTTTCTTAAAATATGGTTAAAGACTCCCCTTAAATGGGATCGTAGCAAGACAAAATATTCCACAAAATGATTCGTCATAAAATTCTACTATCAGTCCTAGAATACGTTAAAACGTCAAAACTTAAAAATACATTTTAAGGTTAGGTCCGTACTTTGTGTGAGTTTGTGCAAAAATCTCCAACAAAGACTCATTTTAGAATGATGACGTCCAACGCTTCATTTTTTGGAGAAAGTATCAGAATTAAAATTATTCTGGATCAAATTTAATTGTGATTCTCTAAACAAAAGAAGTGTGTGTACCTAATATGTACCAGCATACATTTTTATACCCTCCACCCATGACACAATTGAACCATGCCTCCACCATAGTATGAAGAGTATATTAAGTTTCCCTTTGTAACACCTCGAAATATACATTTTAGATCCCACAGCTTAAAATTCTATGTCGATATTGCGGTGTCCGTCCGTCTGTGGAAATCACTCAAGCTTTCGAACGAAATGAAGTAGGTTGATAAAAAATTTTACTCCAATGTATATTATGTCTGCAGGACTTTTGGTATCAAAAATGGGCCGTGTAGGTCCACGTTTTGGTATGGCCCCCATATAATGATACCTCCCTATTTTCGGTATTTTGGTGATTGAAGCGACATTTTTCACCGGAAATGTTTTACATTTATTATTTGAAGTTTGTAATGGAAACTACAGCCTATGACAGAAAATTGTCTTTGCAGGTCCACGTCTTCGTATAGCCCTCATATAAAAGTACCTCGATATTTTAATCATTTTAGCGGCATTATTCACCGGAATTGTTTCAAATTTGGTATTTGGAGTTCGTAATGGATATTACAGCCTATGACAGAAATTTGCCTGTGCATGGCCACTTCTTCGTATATCCCTCATATAACAGTACCTCCCGATATTCGATATTTTTATAATTTAAGCGGCATTGTTTACCGGAAATGTTTCAAATTTGGTATTTGAAGTTCGTAATGGATTCTACAGCCTATGACAGAAAAATCTCTGTGCGGGTCCACGACTTTTTTAAAACCCCATATAACGGCACCTCCCGATATTCGATAATTTGATGATTTTAGCGATATTATTCACCGGATTGTTTAAAATTTGGTATTTGAAGTTCGTAATGGATCCTGTAGCCTATGACAGAAAATTGTAAAGTAATGGCTTCTGACAAAAGTTTTCTATGCAAGTCCACGTCGTCATATAGACCCTAAAATAACGGCAACATTCGGTATTTTTAGGAGTTTTTTTTTTTTTTTTTTTGAAAATTGCCAACTTCGTTCCAAGTGGTGGAGGGTAAATACAGCTTTTGTACTTGTTTTAAATAGAAAATCTTGTTTTGTCTGTGTTTTCTTTTTTCAACTCTACTTTCATAATCTGCTGGATTTGCCCCGTAAATATTGAAAAAAAAATGAATTTTGTAGCATAGTGTAATTTTTCACTCTATTCCAGTTCCCTTTTACATATTCCAAAGGCACATCTACCACGGACTTAATGGCATGTCTTGAAAAACAAACCACCCCAAAATGCCCGAAAAAAGTCTCATTTTCCTGTGCCACTCAAACGCATGAATCAATAACCACCACAACCTGTCAAGATGCCAGGGAACAAAGGAAACAAAAGAAGCTTATATCTTCGTACTTTTCTTAAGAACATACAAATGTAATTGTAAAATCCATTTCTCTATTTACAAAAAAAAAAACACATCAAGACTTTAACAAAAAGAAATAAAGGAAAATAACTTATTCACACGAATTTTCTAATTTTTCTTTGCTTTTTTAGGTTTTTGCTTTTGTTTTTTGTTAATTTGTTTTGAGGTTGTTGCTATGGAATTTAAAGAAGTTTTGGATTTTTTCGGTTGCATTTTTGTTGTGTTCTTTTTGTTGGCGGCCGCTGTTTTCTCTTCCTGCTCTTTGACGGCAAAATATCTTAGTTTTTCTTTTCTCAGTGCATTGTAAAATTCTGTAGATTTGCTGAAAGATGCTTTTCGAACACTATCAACGCTACCAATCCTTAGATAGTAATCTTTTAATATGAATTTGAAATCTTCTATTAGAATTTCCTTTTTGGCCTGAACCCTTTTCACATCACCAGTTGCCACAAAAGAACAGCCATTGACTTCATTTACTTTAAATTCTTTTGACTCAAAGGCATCGGGTTTCCAAACTATGGCAATTTCCTTGCCACCACAGGGATTGTAAAAGAAGGCAGCAAATTCTGAATAGGCTTCCTAAAAACAGAAATAGGATTGAGTTAATTTTTATAAAAGAAAATTGTTAACCTTTCAGCTTACCCTCAATTTTTGCACAGCATTTCTCATGAAATTACTATCGGCCAAAGGCATATGCCAATTGGGTTTTGTAAAGTCCACAAAAGGCGAACCCAATTCAAAGGTTAGGGTATTGGATACAGCTTCTGGCTTTAGTTGTATCACCAAATCGTAGCCCTCGGTGGGAGCTTTAAAAATGTGTACAGGTTTTATGAATGTTGCGCTGGTTAATAATGTAGATTCGATGATTTCCAAACATTGTCGGGCCAGCAGTGTAACACGAGCCAAAACATGTGTATTTGGTAATTGTTCGGAGGTCCAAATTTTACCATAATGTTGACGATCATAGGCCGTCACCAGACACAAGGGGGGAAACGAGTCTCTGTCGGTGCTGAATTTTTGTTCCAAATCGGGAATTTCAGTTTCTGTAAAGGAAATACAAATTTTTGATATATTCAAAGAATCTTTGTTCGGTATTCAAACACAGAAAGATTCCTTTTAGAGTTCCGCATCCCTCTCCCCTTTATCAAGAAATTTTCTGTGCCTGTTTAATACCATGGTTTGTGTTTTTTGTTTTGCACTCACCCTGCATGGCATTATTGAAATTGATCAAAAACATTTCCGTTTTCCAATCTGTGTTGGCCAACAAATGCAAAAATCTTACAAAGGACATTTGTGGTGAATTGCTTATAAACTTCGATGATGTCTTGAGGAATTGTGATGCCACAAGAAGCTCGGTGCACTCCTCGGGCCATTGACCGTCATCGATTAGTTGTGAATATAGCCAACGTTTGGCAATCATAACTGTGGGACCAAACGATGGATGACATTGATGTAGGGCCTTTAAGGCACCCGCCACCTTGGGTAGTATATAATGGCGCTTTTCCAAGGCAATACTTTCGGGACAGTCTACATGTGTTGTTATGCCTTTTTCGGTCTTCTCTTTCTTCAACAAACCCACCTCTTTGGGATGGGCAATTTCCAAATTGAAACAATAGCCTTGTTTCAAGACCAACACCCCATCATAGGTAACCTTGCACAGTAACTTGTGGTGCTCTTTTAGCAAGGATGCAATTTGTATGTAAAATGCAGTTTTCAAAGCACGCAGAGCGGCCAATTCTCCCGGCCATTTGCCGCTGAGACCTGGAAATAGAGAAACCCCATTTAACTCATCAAATCGAGAAAGGGAATTTCATGCCGAAACTTACCAAGCTGTATAATGCCATGCTGCACATTATTGGCAAAAAATTGCTCTTGTATACATCTGGCTTGCGGCAACACCGGCCGGGGATCACAATATCTTAGCACCGGCGATATGGGTGCAATCGACACAATTTCCAAGGGCAAATCTTTTAGGCCATTTAACTTGCGAGCCAAATCATCAAATTCCCTTATGACATGCAGGGATAAGGCCTCAGCATCGGTCTCCTGTTGAATTTTGTATTTACTTTTAAAGTTGTCTATTTTGAAACCTTTCGTCAGCGAATAAACCGCATCCAATTCCCCGGCAATATATTCAACATCTTTTTGTTCCAATTGGAAATGATGTTGCAGCAAATAGAGGACAATTGAACGTACAATAAGACGTTTCTTGGCCAAATCATCGTTGGCATTAGCCCATACCACAGATTCGGTAATGCTACCATCTTGGAAACGTCTCAGTTGTGCCTTTTCTCCCCAAAACGCACGAAATTCGGCGGCAGATTTATCTATGGATTCCGGGCCTTTATCAAGAATTTCATATGCATTTTCGGCATTTAGAATAAGACCCAAGTGGAGTTCTTGCAAGGCCTCTGAGGGGGATTCGTTAATGTTCCAGGGTAATACTGCTTGCTCCAGAGGTATTAAGAAATCCACTCTTCTATTTAGGCCTTTTTTCAAGAGTCTAGAATTGTGAAGAAGTCATTAGAAGGCTGGTAACTCTCTCCGGAATTATTTTACTTACTTGCTAATGGTCTCTAACAACAAGGCATATGTGTATCCCGCATTGTTATATTTATCAGCTGGTGAGACATGCATTTCCAATATCTGTTCCACAGCATCCGCTTTGTTAATTCTGCAAAAAAAAAAAAAAAAAAACAAATGTTATTCTAATGAAACTGAATTTTAAAAGGCTAAATTACTTGAGTATGTGGTCCATTTGGGTGTAAAGAGGCACCTTCATCATAAACAAATATTGAAAACTGTTTAGTTTCATATCATTTAGCATGTCTACGGCCAGCTTTGCTTCCAGTTGGATGCGTTTGTAAACATCTTCCGACAAATTAGAGCAAATATTAAAGAATCCTGAGATGTCGACAAAAACTACTTTGAAATGGGCATGGAACTGCTCAATTGTGGGTTGGTTTGGGGTACTTCCGCTTCCAGTGCAAAGACTTATGCCCTTGTTCAGTTCATTCCAATTCGATAATGCTGGAAAGGTATTAACAATAATATTTAAAAAAGGCTTTAATTGAGGGTTTCACTTGGTAGCTTACCCAAATTATTCCAAACATTACGGGCCACCTGATAACTGCTCATATTATTGTGTAATTTCTTTTGTTTCACCAAATAGGCAATAAACATGGCCATAATATGGCAATTAAAACCACTATAGCCCATATCCAACTGCCTTTGCCTCAGCCAAACTTTCAGCAGCAGGAAACCCTCTTGGAAGTTCTTTCGATTTTCAAACGTTTCTTGTAATAATTTTTGATTTGCTTGCATTGTGAGATCAAACAAAACATTTGAGTTATAGCTTGGCGTGGCAGTGTGCACCGCCTCCTCCTCAACGCCATATAGGCTAGAACGTACATTATTGTTCCATGGTACAAAACGATTCAATTTAAAGGAGCTCTCATCGCCAGCAACAAAAATTCGAAAGACCAATTTTTGACTTATTTTCTTACCCGCCGATTCGGGGGGTGTTATTTCCAGCAATGGCTTCAAGGGATTATTTTTGTAATAGACAAACTTCAAATTTTCTGCTTTCAAATCGGGCACAACTTTGGACTCCAACAACTTTTGGGTCAGATAAGTTAAATAGAATGCTCGTTTCTGGTCATATTGCAGATTTAAATAGTTCTCTTTTTGCCAACAATCTGGCGGCATTACAACACAAATGTCAGCCTGCAATTGAGGTCCCAAAAGTGTTTTGGTATTACAGGCACCAATAAAGAAGGGTTCAACTTTGGGTTTTAAAAACTGAAACTGGAACAATTTTTGTTGTTCCACCTTTAGGGCAGGCAAATTAAGTGGCACCTGAATGGAGCTCTTTTTCAAAACGACAATTTGTTCATATCTTCCTTTTCCGGCATATCCTTAAGGCCTTTTACAAATGTCTTAAATTGTTCCAGAAAACCATTGATGTAATTGTTGTATTTATCCTTTATCTTGACTTCTTCCAACATTTCTTTGATTTGTAAACGGAACAAATTTGAGTGGAATAAATTTCGTGTCTCCTTCAGTTTATTAATTTCTTCCAAGGTGGGCGGTTTAACTTTTTCACCCACAACGCCAGCTTTCTTAAGCTTTTTAGTATCTGGCTGTTGCGCTGCTACCTGTTCCTGCTTGCGTTTGTTGTTGGCTTTTTCATATTTTTTTGAAGGTTCCTCTTCTTCTTCTTCTTTGTCAGAGAAACCATCATCACCACTGCCATCGTCCTCACTTGCTTCCTGCTCTTCGCTATCATCGTCACTGGTTCCATTTTCAATCATGGAATCATAGCCCTCGGTGTCAGGTGTCTGCATTTCTTCATCTTCCGTTTCATCGTCGACCACAGCAATCTCAGCCTTTTTAAGTTTATTTACCTTTTCCTCTACCGATTTCAATGGCATTTTTCCACCCTTCTGCAGAAAAATACATTGTAATTTATGCTAATTATATTCATGGTCACATTACTTACCTTTTTATTCATATTTTTCTTGTTTTGTACCATTATTTATTAATTTTTCCAATAAAAATATGATTTTTTTAATTATGTCTGCCTGTTTCCCTTTGCACGTGTTGTTCACTGTTCTCTCACTGAGAGAATTGTGCATGTAAACAAAGAGATGCATTTTTGGTAGTAGAATTCTTCTTCTTTTTTTAAATCACAGTGCAATCCACAAGGGATCGTGTTACAAATACTCAAAGCAGATGCATTAGGTACTGGCATCGCCAAAATTTGTTTCAACACAACACAATTATTCCACATAATTTGTACAAATAATTAAGTTTAAAGAAACGTTTTTATATAATTTCACTCAAAACTAATTTTAAAATAGTGCATTAAAAATTAGGCTGGAAATACATAAAGAGCATATTTGGCTGGCTTAAGTCATCGGCTGGCTTCTTCGGAAATGAACAAAGGAGCCTAGGGCCAAAATCGAACTAAGTCAACCTAAACCTCTTTTGTTCATTTACGAAGAAGCCAGCCGATGACTTAAGCCAGCCAGATAAGCGCTTTATGTATTTCCAGCTTTAGTTGTTCACATAGAATTGTTCATTCTTAATTATAACTTTCAGTTTTTTAATTACAACCTATTTATGTATATCATGGTGTGATAGAATTAACAACAATAATCGACAACAGCAAAGTTTAATTTTCCTATAATTTATGAAATTTGTCGATAAGTTAGCTACGAAAACAAGGTTATCTCAAGTTTCAGATAAAAAAAACCCTAAACTGGTGCGACTACCTAATACAACTGCCTTGAAAACAATTTTGACATTAGAGCACTGCTGCGAGAAAAAACGTTCCGCTTCGTTATCTGATGTGGATGGATTCAGGGAAATCTGGAAAATGACTCCAAACGAAAACAAAGTTGTAAAGGTATTCCATATCTTCCAAAGCTTTTAAACAATTGTTATCATTAATAAAATATTTTGCTTTTTAGACCAATCCCGATAAGAAGTCCCTAAAGGAGTTGACATTCTCTGTTGTGGGCGATGATGGTGTGAAGCTTAACATTACTGCTTTGGTAAATATTGTTTTTTCACATCTGGGACATAATTTAATGGAACCTAATTTCTAGGATAAGTATTGGGCTCCGCGATCCATATTTTCCAACTATACCGGTCTGGTAGTCTCTGGTGGGCACTTTAAAGAGGGCGCTGCATTGGATGAGTGGAAACATGAAGCTGAAACTTTCAAAATTGATATGGAGTTCTTGCTGAGCTTAAGTCAACATGAGTAAGTCAGTCATTCGAATATTCCATGAAAAACAATTTAGTTAGATGAAGTGGACATGGAAGAATAAAATCCACGTTCATTTTCTCCAAATATTTCTCCTTGACTTATTGAAATTTATTGCACTTTTAGATTCTGGTCATATCTGTTATATCAACAGTCCGCCTTGGGAGCCATTGTCTCGTTTCTGCAAAAAGCAACACCATTTTACATAAACGTCTTCACCGAACTCCCTGCCACCGAAGTTCAAGAGCTTTATGAGTACATTCTTAACCTAATTTTACGCATAATATGTCGCGTACTTTCACCCAAGGAGTCAAATGAGTCATGGATAAAAAAGGAAGATTTAAAGATGCTGATTTATGAAAATTATCTTGTGTCCATTCCAATGCTCTTCGATTTATTGGTAGCCGTGGGAAATGGAACACAAGAAAATATCGATCTGTTAAAGAAGATTTTCGACACACTCCTATTGTTGCAACCAAACTATAAAAAGGATTTGCAACATGCCTTGACGTATTTTCGAGTAGCATTCCGTTCGATTCATACCCAAACGGAAAATGAGGGTTTCGAGGGGGCCGGTGGTGGTTTGCCCGATGAGAGTTGTGAAACACCCTTTGATGATGTGGTTCTCTATGCATTGGATTGTGCCTTTACGTTAAGTGTTTTGCTGGATGTATGCCCCGTTGCCAAAGAGATATGTCTGGAAATAAAATTACCCCAGGCCATTGCTAATTTCTACGACAATACCCTGCCGTTCCTCTATAAGAACATATATGTGATAAATGAGCAGGCAAAAAGTCTGTTATGGATAAATCATGCCCGTATACAGCTTTTGAAATCATTTCGAAACATTGCATATTCGCATGTCGAACGCGTTTTGGCGAAACCGTAGGTGTTTTTTATATTTTTAAATGTTTTTGGGGAGAATAATTTATTTTTATTTGCAGAGAGGCTGGTCTTTTGGCTTCGGAAGAATTTATTGGCCTCATGACGGAATGCCTATCCGAACAGACATTTGTTGTGGACTATGAACGTCATTATCCCATGTCAATGGATATGGATATTCTCAAACAAGCCTGTCCCGATTTGTAAGTATATTTTGGAGCGAATGTTTTACTAACTATTTCATTTATATGTTGGTTCATGAGTCTTGTTATATCGATAACGACTTTGGATAAGACACTAAAAATGGAAAGAATTTTTCGCATGACAGTTGGTCATATGATCCAAAACCTTTTCAGCCTATTCTGTACCGACAGCAGGGCAAATAGATAGTTAACGGATAGACATATAATCATATTTTTAAGTTTCTCTCTTTCTAAATTTACATGTTTTAATTCGTCATTTTATAAAAAGTTATTGACCCATCCTCAATATTTTTATTTGTCCTTAATCCAGAGATAGCTTTAAAGCCGATTTCGTTGTGGATGGCTATCGAAGAGAATGTGCCAGTGCTGCGGTAGATCACATAAATAACAACGACTTGAAACAAGAAATCTATAATGAAAGTCCCAGTCCAACCCTACCAACTCCTGTAGAAACTACCAACAATACGCCAAATGAAAACAGTAATCCCACGGAAGCCTCAGCAGCAAACCGTGACCTTGAATTGGAAGTAACAGTTGTTCTCGATTGTCTACCACATTTGGGTACTGGGTTTGTGAGACGCATCCTCAGTCGTTATAACAATGCCGAAGAGGCCATATCTGCTGTTTTGGAAAATAATCTGCCACCCGATCTAGCTGAAGCAGATCAAACAGAAGTCTATATACCACCTGATCCACAGGATGCCCTGTACAAAGAGACTGGTGTCAAACACTTTAATGTCTTCGATGGTGATAAATATGATATAATGACCCAAGATAATCCCCAATGTATTATCAAGCAAGGTAAGGGTATGCCAAATGCCCCCAAAAATGCTGCCCAGTTACTAGATGATAAACGTGATTTGGCTGCCATCAGACACAGATATCAAGAATATTCTTTGGTAACGGAGGGCGGTGGTGACGACGAGACCGAAGACCAGGAATATAACGATGAATATGATGACAGCTATGAAGCTTTGCTCGAGAGTGAAACACGTGTGGTTAAATCCAAAGATATGAAACAGGTATTGGCAAATGTTGCCGACGAATCGGAAGATGATGAAAATGAATCGGACGAAGAAGATACGAGTCAAAAAGAAAATCGTAAAAAACATGAACTTTTGTGAAAATCCCGAAGATGTTCGAGCCCGCTACGAGGCCAGGCGCCAAGCTAAATGGTACAAGAAAGGAGTACCCACTCCAACGCCACAAAACTTCGATGTGGTTGGCAAGCAGAAGGGTCAAGGTCAGGAGAAAGATGTTTGCGAAATCGTCAAAAGAAAGAGGCCAATAAATCGTCGAGAGCCAATCACAATCGCAAGGCTGGTGCCGCCTTTAAACGCAGTAAGGGTATGCTTTAAGTGTGTGCTGTTATATTAATATGATAAAATAAATATTTTAAAAATTAAAAAAACCGATTTATTTTATAGAATTCTTTAGGAACTATTGTGGACCTCAACACATTTCTTAAAAGTTAAAATTTTGGATTTTTTCAGTACTTCTCTGGGCATTATAGTTGTCATCTAAAATCATGGGAAATTTTCCAGGTAATAAAAGCGATTTTGTCAAGATTCTTTTTCAGGGACTATAGAGGTATAATCGGGACATCCAAGTTTATCATTTCGGGAATATGAGTTATAGATATTGAAAGAATATATTCCAGAGACCCCCAGTGATATAATCGTAAACTATTCAGGAACTAATGGAGCAAGAATTCTAAATTGTTTACATTTTCAGGTGACACCAAATGAATGGTTATGTTCTTCAGGGACTATTAAGTCTGGAATCGTGCAGTTTTTGAAAACATTTTTCAGAACTGCTCTTAATAATATTATTTTCAGGGTTGTTCAGAACTATAATCATGGTGTTTTTAAATATATTTCAAAGATTCTGTATTAGTAGACCGCTTGCCCTCCAAGAAAAAAAAAAAACATTTTCATTTTTTGTATTAAATATATTAATATATTAAAAAATATTTTTCAAAACTGCAACCCAACTCAAACTATAGAGCCGTTTAAGAGTCATTGGTCAAAGAACTGTAAATGATTTTGGCGGAAGGTCTGTGCGATGGCTCTTGATTCGTACACAAGTAAAACAACTCCATTACCATATTGTAGTCCTCGCTCAATTCAAACGCCTGTGGCAGAGGTGGTCTTGTTCCATATGCCACCGAGGCATTCATCGAATCCATGCCCAAATCACTGTCTGCAAGTGAATTGTCCTCTTTACTTTCATTTTCCTCATCCTCATCGTTTTCCGTGTCATCCAATTTCTGTGAATGTGGTGGAATCAAAGCAATCGTCTCATAGATTATCAGGCCCAAGCTAAATATATCTGCCTTGCTATCGATCACATCCTCGTCCTGTATAATTTCTGGGGCACACCACAGTTCAGTACCCACATATCTTAAGTCTGGATTTTCTTTGAAATTAATTTTACCCTCCTTGTCCAAAGGCAAACTTACACCAAAATCACACAATTTACATATTTCAAAGCTGCCCTTGACCAAAATATTGTGCGATTTAAGATCGCCATGCAATAACATGGCTTCTGTGTGCAAATAATCCAAGGCACTGGAGATATCTCTCAACATTTTCTTAATGTCCTTGGCGGGCAATGCACCCTCCTCCGCATCCAAACGTTCTTCGAGTATGGAACCCAACGATGTGCTACAACATTCCAATGCCAAACTGTCAACCTCGTCATTTTCTTTTTTGCTATCGCACGGAAACCCACAATGTTGGGATGATTTAGTTTCCGCAAAATATCGGCTTCTTTTATTATCCGTTGATTGAATATTTTCGAGTTTTCGCTGTTTGTTCGTCGCGTCCGTTGGGAAACACGTTTTATTGCCCATGGAGAACGCAATTGGCCACTGGGTTTTGGTGATCGTTCCAAGAAGTACACATTGACGCCTGTACCATAGCCAAGTGTTTTCATTAACGGAGATGCTGGTACCTGCAGAGGAGTGTTAACTTCCAGATGGAGATTTCTTAGAGGTTTTCGTGGTGTCTCCATTTCTGTGAGTGTTAATATATGCAAGAATAATTAGGAATAATTATTAATTAATTGATTTGAATTCGTTGGAAAGTGATTGAAAAGTAAAATGTCGCGCTTATATCCCAGGGATGTAAAATTCAGTACAATGGTACTTTTTTAGTACCATTTCACTTCAAAAAGTACCTAAGTACTCCCGCGGGAAATTCACTACCATTTTCACATAAGGTGTCTCCTTTATAATGCAATTAGTGTAATCGACGTTTAATAAGATCGCATTGCTTCATTCAAATTCTTACGACACCATTGGTCGTGCCATTGGTCGATAAAGGTATCGATATATGAAATTTGTAAATCTAAATGTTGCCATCTTTAGTTAAAACCATGACAATCATGTGTTTTGGCTGAGGCATTTAAAGAGTCAATACATTTCCCAAGGAAGAACAAAATTTTGAAAAACATTAACTCCCAATTTAGAGCATTATCTGATTATCCTAAACTTAAAAAATGTAAAGATGGTAATATTAGTGATTTTTGGCTTAATGTTAGTGTTATTAAAAACGAATTGGGGGAATTAATGTTCGCAAGATATATCATGATTTGCCTTTGGTATATATCAATTCCCCATTCTTCAGTGATGTTGAACGAATATTTCAATTCAAAATGCCACTAAGACTAAAGAAAGAATCGTCTACAGCTAGAAAGTCTTTCTAATCTCATAAGGTCGAAAGATCTTCTTAAATCGAATAATTCTTGCTGTTTTGATTACAAAATTCCAGACAACTTCCTTGAGGAAATAAGAAATTAATCATAAAAATAACTTTACAAAATTCAGAATGTTATATAAGAAAAAATGATCTCACATTTTATGTTCCTGGAAGGTATATACATATCATGGCAGAAGAATACAGGGAGTTGCATTAAACGCTTGGGAGCATTGATATGTCAAAAAAATTAAATGTTTTTTTCAAATATAAGTGGATTTTTATATGTTTCTTATACTACGTCATTCGGAGGCTATTATAATTCGCGTTTTTCAACAATTTTTACAAATTTAAATAATTTTTCATTCAACATTTTCAATTCCAAATTGGTTTGGCAGTTCATTGTCCCAGCAGCTGTGTCGACGCGTCTACCTATATTCTTCTACCATGATACATGTGTACCTAAATACATAGGTGAATGCATGGTACAATGATATCAAGGTAGGGCTATGATACCATATGATTTCAATTTTTTTAATTTCTTGGCTTAATATGTCATCTTTATTTGTTTTGTATGTGTTTTCTTGTCAATAACAAAAAAAATCGTTCAGAAAATATTCAAATTCGGATGTTTTCAAAATGTTATTTCATCGTATGCATCGACAAAATCTAGAGTTTTTGTAGCGAATAATCCTTTAGAGATATAGAACCTGGTTTTGAAAGAAGTGTTGACCTTTCATTCAGTTTTCGCGGTTTTCATTATTTATTCAAAATAAATGCAACAAGTTGTTTGATTTTATTATTGTTTTGATACTATTTCTGACGTTACAAGCCAAACAGGTAGACCTCTATACTTGCAATTTTTTCAAAGTTGACCTACCTTCTCTTCATTGTACCATGGGTGAATGAATTTGTTATGTTTGTTTTGTTTTGTTTTGCTGAATAAAACGTAAACGTTTTTTGTAACTCTAAAAAAATTATAAAAAAGTACCATTTTATTTAAAAAGTACCATTTTAGTACCTTTTGAAATTTTTGATTTTCCATCCCTGTTATATCCTCATTTTGGGAAACCAAATGAAAGACGTCCCCAACGGAACAAATAAGGAAGCAAAAAGGAATGCCCGATAAAATGTAAAGAGAAACACTGCCCGATAAAATGTAAAGAGAAATAACGAAATAATATTTTTATGGCATGTTCACATGAGACCTGTTCAATTAGGGAATTCAAGGCAAAACACAGAAGATGGCCATTTTTCTTTATTCATAGGTTGGCTTTGAAATGTCATCACAGCTGGTGGTACAATGAACTGTCAAAACCTTTTCGGAATTCTAATTTTTTTTAATCGGAAAGTTAGCCCATCTGACAGAACATTTTAAAAATTTTGACAAATCAATGTTTCTAAGCAATGATGCACCTACCTGTATTCTCCTACCATGCAAAAGATGTAATTTTGATTTGAAAGAGACTCAAATCACAATAGTGCAAAAAGTATTAATTTTATTCTTAAATTAGACTTCTTGGTTGACATTACATATCTCTTTATTTTTGCAGATTTATGTCATACCTGTTATCATCTGGCAGTTGTTTATTTGCCGTCAAATGTGAAAATTTAAATTACAGAAAAATTCCCTTTTTGAAATAGAACACATTTTTGAGAGAAAATCCAGGCATCCATTCATTCAATTTAAAAATGAGGAAAATTATAAAAAAAATGAAAACAACTTGTTATATAATTTTGAATGAGTCTGACAGGAAGCGGGCATAGCCTCAGGGCTGTATTTCTGTAGTTTTACGAAGCAGTTCTACCTCCTTATTGTACAATGTTTGTATCATAACTTAAAAAAACTGTGTATATGTTCTGACATTAGAAAAATTTTATGTTAGCGATTTAAGCAGGCTTAATTCAATACTTACCATAATCAAATATCCTTTACAATTATTAAAACATCAAAATTACAAGTTTCCTGGCCTTTTGAAATCATAATCATTGCAAAATAATAAACTCATTACCACACATTAAAATAAAACTTACTGATGTTTAAAATAAAAATTTTAACTAAATCAGAAAAAATATACACACTATAAAACAGACATATTATATTATTTTAAATATCGTTTTTCATCAATCAATTGAAATTTAATTTGATAAATGTATTGCAAATATTAGACTAATTAGGGTTTTTTGTTCGTATTTTTTATTTTTTTTTTTTGGTTTTTTGCATTTTTTTATTATGTGTCTGCGGTCATTTTTTAATACGGAGTTGTATGTGTTTTTTATTTTTGTTTTTTCCATTTCGAATTTAATTTGGTAGTTTTTTTTTTTTCTGTAGCAGATTTAATATGTACTATATGTATATATTTACTTCATCCATTATTAAATACATAGTTTGTTTATATATTATGATTTTTTTGTTTTATTTATTTTTAAATTTATTTTTAAATAATAATAAAAATTGCTTCAAATTTACAATAGCATTTTTGTTGATTTTTTTATTATTTTTTGTTTTGTAATGGTTTGTTGTTGTTGTTGATTTTTGTTTTTAGAGAAAATTTTCTTAATTTTTATGTAAACTAACATTTCCTTTCTTGTTTAATGTGTGTGTGTGTATGTGTGTTTTCAATAATTTTTTGTATTTTTTTAATTTGAAAGAAGAGCATTTTGTTTTTGATGTTCATTGTGTGTGAGGGTATTTTTTTATTTTATTTTGAATTTATTTA